GGAGAAAAGGAAAAAAATATTTGTTGCTTATTGAATTAACTATACACCCTAATTTCCAAGGCATAGCCTTATAGGGGCTGAGACACATGGACACACTGATGTTTCGCTAGACCTGTGATCTCATCCAATACTACATTTCACTTCTCACCCATCCGCTCCATGTCTGTGTCTTCTCATGAGTTCTTTATGGGTTCCCCACTATGGGAGGCCCTTATGTGACCACTAATGCATGAAATTCTGCCTGTAGATATAAGGCCAAGTAATGGACTAACTCACTGTTTATAATGGAATCTTTCTACCACCTCTTGTCTTCTGAAACCATCAGTGTGACTTCCATTTGGGAAGACTTCCTTTCTCAGTGGGAGAAACTTGTATAGCAATTATAACCCTTTCTGCCTGTACATTAAAAGCTAATAGTTTTGGGAAGCTATGTGGCACAGTGGATGGAACACTGCACCTGGAGTCAAGAAGACCCGAGTTCAAATTTGGCCCCAGGCACTTACTAGCTGTGTGACCCTGGGCAAGTCACTTCACCCTGTTTGCCTCAGTTTCCTCATCTGTAAAATGAGCTGGAGAAGGAAATGGCAAACCACTCCATTATCTTTGCCAAGAAAACCCCAAATGGGGTCATGAAGAGTCAGACATGACTGAACAACAAAGTTTTCTTTGAAGTGTATCATTGTATCATTATATCATTATAACCTCTTAGCTTGCTTGTTAAAAAGTTCAACAGGTTTTATGGATACATTTTCCAATGTTTTATGGATGCTCTTTCCTTGTTCAATATTACTGTCACTTTGTAGCGATCTCTCTCCTGCCAAGAGAACCCTCCATTCGAGGGGATAAGTGCAGTCAAGCTAAACAAATCAATATGCAGGCTGCATCTGAACACGTGTGCCTCATTTTGAACCTGTGGATTTCTACCTGTCTTCACAAAGGCAAGAGACGTTGCTTTGCCGTCCACTCTCGTAACAGTAGCTTCTTCACGGTCCTTCTTAGGTTAAGTTTACTTGGCAGACTGCCTACTGTGCGCTAATAGCTCTCTTCCAAGGTTGATTGTGTGCCAAGGCCAAGCAGCCCGAAAGACCGAGCATGAGTTCAGAAAGATGGAGGTGAGCATAGGCCAGTCAGCACTCTTCAGCCTTCAGGACCAGATCAAAAGTGAGTCTCTACTGATAGATTACATCAGAGTCAAGGTTTCTTCTGTACATAAGCAAGAACGGTTCATCCTTACGCTACACTGTTGCCTGCCCTCCCCAGGCATAGGAAATCAAAGAAGACAGAACACACAGGCAGGTCCAGAAAGAAGGGCAGAGGTGATCATAGTCTAGCATCTTTCTCCATCACCTTGAGACCCAACTGTCTGTGCTCTAGCTTCAATAAATTCTATGTGCGTGCACCAGAAATGCATTGGGCCCCATTTCCCCCTTTTTCGGTGCATGATTATAATGCTTTCTGTGTTATCCATTTAGAGAGTGTTTTCTGCTAAAAGTTTGGGAATGAACAGGAAAGATCCACCCCTCCAATCTCTAAAATTAGCCTGTCGAGCTGAGCGTGAGCCCGCCTACTATGCTGGGACCTTTCCTTTAGATCCCTTGATATTATTGTGCATATATCAGTGGAACTTGTGGGCTCTCCATCAGTTTCCCCCTCATTCTTGATACTCTGCTAACCTCTTTTTCTGATCGTATATATGGGTTCAAAATGCCTCAGGCTAGTTTTAAGTGTTAATAGCTCTTAGCCCCCTTCAGTTCTGACATTCTGTGTTCTAAGTTCTCCCTCACTACTAGCTCTGAAATAATTGAGTTCTAAGGGCCCTTATGACTTGAGTAGCTTAAATTGTTCTAAGAGTTTGAAAACATCTTGTTTTTCCTGATATTATCCTTTAAGCCATTGAAACCAAACTCAAATAGAAACAGATCACCACAGGCCACAAACTGACTTAGAAAACCACTAATTAACATTCGATTTTTCTTTATTTTTGCTAGTCATTTCAGCGAGTTTGACACCTCTGCTTAAAGCCACTTTTCCTGTATTACTAATATGCTAATTCATTAGCAATATGTTATAGTCTGCTCATACCTAGGAGAAGGAAATGACAAACCACTCCACTATCTTTGCCAAGAAAACCTCAAAGGGGGCGTGAAGAGTTATTACAATTGAAAACAACTGAACAACTCATATCTACCATGTGCCTCCCCATTCCTCGTTGGGTGACTGGCAGCTCTAATTCTTCAGAGACTTCGGTATTCCCTACCTCATAGTGGGTTCTGTGGCATTATTGGGGAAATATTATTATTAAAGCACGAGAGAAGTTTGTTTCAGGGAGAAGTCTGGCTTCATTAAAAGTACCGGACAAGGGGCAGCTAGGTGGTGCAGTGGATAGAGCACCAGCCCTGGAGTCAGGAGGACCTGAGTTCAAACCCGGCCTCAGACACATAACACTCACTAGCTGTGTGACTCTGGGCAAGTCACTTAACCCCAATTGCCTCACCAAAGAAAAAAAAGTACTGGACAGTCGCCAAAGGCCTTCCAGTTCATTCTTCTTCCATTCTGGACCCAGTTCTTTGTTCATCCTCAGTATCTACCCAAGGTATATGATGTATCAGTTCTGTGGGTGGCTATATCACTGTATATCAGAGCATCTTGGTCAGGAGAAGGGATAGTTTTCATTCACTTATTTTTTCCTAGGCTGAATTTGCATAGGTGATTCTCATCATTTAACATTTCAGTGTCCTAGGGTTTGGTGCATCAGCACTGTATTAACAGCAAATCTAGAGAAACCTCTAGGGAATCTCTTTTCCATTTGAATTCTTCACTGGTCGTTCTTCCCAACAGTGGTAAGCCTCTTTGGTGATCATATAATGCTTTCTTTTAATGCCTTGGTTGACAGAGGCAGTAAGAGGAAAGAGGGCTGGGTTTGGAATCACGCACAAGATGAGGTGGTCAAGCTAGATGATCTCAAAGGTCCCTATCAGTTATAAAAGTCTCTGTTTCTAGATTGTTAAAGGTCTACTCCAGCTCTGACATTCTGTGTTCTAAGGCCCCTCCTAGCCCTGATATTCTGTGTTCTAAGGTCCTTCCCAGCTCTGACATTGTGTTCTAAAGGCCCTGCACACTCTGACATTCTGTGCTCTAAGGACTCTCTGAGCCCTGACATTCCGTGTTCTAAGGGCCCTGACGTTTTCTGTTTTAAGGACCCTTCCATAACATTGTACCTTATGTACAAAAACTGGTCATGCCAGAATGAGTCTAACTCCACTTCCTCAGACGATGCCTTCAGATTATTAATCTTTTTTGCTTTCCAGTAGAGAGGGATGGCTCTCCTCTTGCATGCAGCTGTCCTTCTTTAGATTCTGGTCACATCGTAGCTGCAGCATGTGAGAAGCATACTGGTCTTTGACAGTGTGATGGTTTCCAGGCTGCTGGGGGCTACGAAGCCAACTGGGACTGCTTGGCAGACAATGGACTCTTGCCCTGATTTTTTAAATATCCATTAGAGTGATGCAGGGTCTGGGTTGGGTTTTTTTTTCACACTTGGAAAATATTGTATTTCACAGCTTTTAGTCAAGAGCCAAACAGCTCCGCAGCTTGGGAAGCAGGCTGGCAATTGCATGATCTAATGTGTTTGCCACCAGCTATCTGGAATGCTGCTCTCCATCAGACTAGGAAGGCAGCTTCTGTGAACAGGGAGTGACTGGTGTTTTGGATGGAAATAGCCACTCACATTAGCAACTCATTACCAGAGAGTTAAGGACTAAATCTGCCACTCAAGAAAACAACCATCCCAGCGGAGCAGAGAGAGCTGTGTTAAGGAGATTCAGACTGGAGTGCTGCAGTCCCAGAGTCACATAGGATAGCCCATTCTCTTTCAGTTCTGATAAAAGCCTTGATGGCCTGCTGGTAAAATATTCAGGTGGTGCAAAACTGGGAGGGATAGCTCACACATAACAGGCTAGAGCATTGGCCTTACTCTAATAAGATGAAATTCAGTAGGGATAAATGTAAACTCAGATCTTGGGGTTCAAAAATCAACTTCGCATGTACAAGACAGAAGAGGAATGGTAAGATAGCAGTTTGTCTTTAAAAAAACACCTAAGGCTTTTAGTAGACAACAAACCCCATAGGAGTCAATAATAAGATATGGCCCAACATGAGGGAGTGCCATTTTGAACTAAATTAAGAGAAGCATGGCTTCCAGGGATGAGGACATGTGTTCTCCACCACTGGAATATTGTGTTCAGTTCTGGGCTGCCACATTTTAGGAAGGAAGGAGATAAGCTGGGGAGTTTTCAGAGAAGAGCAATCTGGATGGTGAAGGGAATTGTATCCATGACATGGAAGGCCTGACTTAAGGAAATGGAAATGTTTGACTGAGAGAAATCAAGGTTGGGGAGGATGGGGAAGACAGGATAACAGTTTTCAAGTATTTAATGGATAGTCATGTGAAAGAAGAATTAGACTCACTCTGTTTGGCCTCACAGAGTAGGACCAGGGCTTATTAGGTGAAAGCTACAAATAGGCTAATTTAGACTTGATGTTAAGAAAAAACTTGCTAGATGAAAAACCATGAAAGTACAGAGAAGTCAAGAAGGATGAGCATTGAGAAAAGGCCACTGAATTTCAATGAATGAATGAATGAATGATTAAGTTCTTAAAAAAAGAAAAAAAACCCTTTCTAATGATGAGAGCTGTCCAGAGGTGGACAGGGCTCCCTGGGGAGGTAGTGGGTTCCCCCCTTCTTGGAGGTTTTCAAGCAGAGGCTGAATGACCACACGGGATATGTTGTAATGGGTAATCTTTGTTGGGGTGTATGGCCCCTGAGGTCCCATCCAATGCTAAAATCCTACAATTCTGTCCCATTTGTGGGTGGCTGCTCCAGCCAAGGAGGACGGAGTTATGGACACATGGTGGAGATGCCATAGTGGTTGAGGTTAGCAACAGGTGGGTGGCAGGGTCTGCAAGCTCCCTTGTGACCCAGGCTGTGCTGTCTCCGGCAGCTGAAGGAGCACCCAGAGAAAGGCGTGTACGTGAAGGGTCTGTCCATGCACACGGTCCACAGCGTGGCCCAGTGTGAGCGCATCATGGAGATGGGCTGGAAGAACCGCTCGGTGGGCTACACCCTCATGAACAAGGACTCCTCGCGTTCCCACTCCATCTTCACCATCAGCATCGAGATCTATGCTGTGGGTAGGTGTGGGCAGTCTGGCGGGAGGGGGGTGGAACACACAGACCATTGCTAAAATATAAGCTACAGATTTAGAACTAGAAGGAGTCTCCGAGGTCATCTAATCCACCCCCTTCATTTTACGGATGAGGAAACTGAGACACAGAAGGGCAAAGGGTTTTGACCAAGGTTACTTAGATAGTGAGTGGTAGAGCAGGGATTCGAACCCAGCCCAGCTAAAGTGACTGGATCAGGATCATGCAGCTAGTAAAGCAATAGAGCCGAGACTTGAGCCAAGATCCTCCAACTTCATGCCCAAGCTGAGCCTCAGCCGACATATTCCGTTGAATTCCACAAATGCTTAGTTCTCCCTCTTCTCTTCCAGGTCTTAGCATCTTTAGCTTTCTTCCAAGTGTCTTCTCTTAAAGGGTTTCCCAGCAGTGTGCTGAAATTTCAGACTTCTGTTAGCTTTGTATTTGCTTATCTGTGTAGACATGTTATTTCTTCCCATAAGAATGTAAGCTCCTTGAGGGCAGGCATTTGTTTTCATCTTTGTATCTCCAGTAACTAGCACAATTTCTAGGACATAGTAGGAGCTTAATGAATGCTTGTGGAGTTGAATTAAACATCTTGTATACAATGCACTGAGGGTAAGGAGTGGGGTGGGGTGGAGATTCAAAGATTAAATATGCCATGAGCTCTCTTCTCCAAGAGCTTACTATCTGGCAGAAGGACATGATGCACAAATACAAAATGGTTTATGCCAAGAACCTTAGCTTTATATAGCAGGAGGAAAGGTTATTATGACTGAGGAGAGGGGGATTAGAGATGGTGCCCTGGAGGAGGTGGTATCTGATGTGGGTTTTAAAGGATGAATAGGAATTCATCAGATCCTTGGGAAGGCGGACTTTCCAGGCACATACCAAAGGCTCAAAGACAGGAAAGGTTAGGACTCATATGGGGAATAAGTAGTCCATTTAGTATAGTGTAGAGTTGATAGAAAGGCATAATATAAGTTTGTAAAGGGAGGGTGGTGCCAGACTGTGGGGTTAACAAGTATTTATTAAGCACCTACTATGTTTCAGGCACTATGCCAAATGCTGGGGGATACAAAGAAAGGCAAAAAGACAGATTCTGTTCTCTAGGAGCTCCCGGTCCAGTGGGAGGGTCAACACAAAGGCCGTGAAGGCCAGACAGAAGAGATGGACTTTACCTAGGAAGTCATAGGAGGCTATTAAATATTCCTGACCAGAGAAGTGACATGTCCAGATTCTGTACAAAAGGTCTTGCTGGTGTTATGAAGGATGAATCAGAGAGGAAGAGAGTCCAAGTGGGAAGACCCACTAGGATGCTATGGCAGCATCCAGACAGATTGCAGTAAGGGCCAGGGGCAGTGGGAAAGTGGGAAAGTCAAGAATTATCTATAAATCCTTATTTTCATGTGCTGTTTGGTTAAAGTGAGACACTGAGGGACTGTATCAAGGAGACTTGAGTTCAAATTCTTCCTCAGACATATACTAGCCAAGTAACCCTGGGCAAGCCAATTAATTTCTCAGCCTCAGTTTCCTCATCTGTAAATTGAGGGGGCTAGATGACCTCCAAGACCTCTTCCAGCTCTAGATCAGTGGTCTCATGATCCTATGGCCTGAGGTCTATCCCTGATGTGCTGTGTGCCCTGAAGCAAGTGGCTCCCTCTAATCCAGGCCTTACCCTCTCCTTTTGTCAAAGGAGGGTCTCTCAGGGGTGGGGAAGCTGCAGCCTTGAGGCCACACTTGAGGACCTAGAGGACCACATGTGGCCTTGAGGCTGCAGGTTCCCCACCACTGAGACTCTTGGTGGTCTCCAAAACCCTTTCCTGTTTCTCTGAGTCTAACTCCTTACCCGTTTCTAGCAAAGTTTGCTTCTACAAACAAAAGTTTGGTTCCTTCCCTCCATGCAATTTCCCTCTGACCTTAGGGGTGTAGAGGATTTTTTGTTGTTAGAAGAGAAGGTTGACCGATCCCAACCCAGAGATCCCTCTCATTGGGCCAGAGGATGGGCTGAGGGCCATCTCCCCAGTCTTCCTCCTCAGGCTGGACAGTGGCTTCATTCTAGGGTGGGAGGCCCACCCCCTGCCTTGAGTGTGGCTCAGGAGGGAGTGTGATATAATAGAATAGAAAAAGCACCAGATCTGGGGGCCAGGAGACCTGAGTTCAGATTCTTCCTCCTAGCTGTGTGTTGGTAGAGAAGACATTTCACGATTCTAGGTAAAAGTGTCCTCATCTGTAAAGTGGGTACCTCTCTGCTTCTTAGGGCTGTGAGGAAGATGCTTTGTCAAACTGGAAATGCTGAAAAGGGGGTGGGGTGGGGGTGGGGAAGGGAACAGTACTTGTTAGGTGCTTTACAAATATTACCTTATTTGGTCAACAACCTTCGAGGTAGGTGCTATTATTATCCCCATTTTATAGATGAAGACACTGAGGCAGGGAGAGGTTAAGTGACTTGCCCAGGGTCATACAGCTAGGAAGTGTCTGAGGCTGGAGTTGAACTCAGGTCTTTTTAACTCCAGGCCCCAGCATTCTATCTGCTGTGGCACTTAGAAACTTGGTTTTTATTATTAGGGCACTCCCAGTGACTTATTTAAGATGAGCAATTTTTTGGATTGTTTGTATTTTATTGTGCTGCTTGACAGCACTCAAGTACCACCAGGAAATTTGTCTTTCAGCCCCCTCCTTCCCTCTTTCTTCTCCCCCCAATATCACATGCATTCATTGATCCCATTTGGCCTGACATACAGAAACATCGGAGAATCAAAGAACCCTTCCCCCATCTGATTTAGAACCATTTTATGATGGGACCCAAGCAGTAATCAACTTACCACAGGCACTTGCCTTCTGAGGCTGAGTATCCACATTGCAAGGGCAGCCCCCTTTCTCCTGCCACCACTAGACAGAGCTGTAACTAGGGCAGGGGGACTGAGGCTTTGCCCCATGGTGCTGAATTTAGAGGGTGTCATTGTGAGAGCACTGAGTTTGGAGGGCGTTGACGATACAAGCAAAGGACAACACGTAGCACCTCATTAGTGAGAACAGTTAGTTAAAATAAGAAGAATAGAAAATAGGAAGCTCTCAGATGGTGCTATAGAGACAGGGTAGTTATTATTAGGGCTTACTTAAGATGAATTGTTTTCTGGTTTTGGGGGTGTGTAATATCTGGATTTCACTGAGCCATTTGGGGATGTCTAGGTTCTTGTCCTAGATACAAAATTTCCCAGTGCCAGCTCTGTTGCTGAAGCAAGTTTCCTTTCCTTTTCCTGCCTTTCTCTTCTTCCCTGCACCCTGAATCCACCATAGAACAGATGGGGTTTTCTGGGGTTAATGAAAGGCCACTGTTTCAAAAGTTCAGGTGCAGGCTTGCACTTTCTGTGTGCAGAATATCATGCCAGATTCTTAGCTAACTCAGTCCCTGCCCTCATAGAGCTTACAGTCTAGTATAGGGATAAGATTCAAACGTGGATTCCTACAATGTTACATGAAAAAATGCTATAGAGAGGTGTGCACAGAGTGCCCTGTAAGGTCCAAGAGGAGAATTTATTACTGACTGGGAGGAATCAGAAAAGGCTTCCTGGAGGAAGTAAGGTTTGAATGGGGCTTTAAGGGATGAAGAGGAATTCTTTAAGAGGAAAGGAAAGAAGAAGAGCATTGTAGCTAATAAAGAGTGGGGTGAACAAAAGCGCTCAGACCACACAGAGGAGAGAAATTGGACAACACTCTACCTTATGTGTAGGAGAGTGATATGAGGTGAGAAAGATAGATGGGGTAGAGCTTGGAAAGAGAGCTAACACACTGGGTCAGAGAGTCAGGATTCTAAGGGAGCGTCACAGGCTGGCACACTGGGCTGAATCTAATACAGTAAAAATGGGGGGCATCTGAACCTATGATCCCAGTATGGGAACTCCCTCCAGCAATCTAGATCAGCCATTCTTCTGTAACTTACAGCTTTAGAGGGTTATTTGGAAGAAGGGAAGTTAGGGGGATTGGCCCCTGGTCTCATAACTAGGCTGGAACAGAGGAAGAATTTCAATGCAGGATTTCCAGACTCCAAGGCCAGCTCTCCATATATTATGCCATTTACCCTCTCAAGATGAAATGGGACAGGGAAAAATGTAAATCTTACGTTGGGCCCAAAGTAGATTTATAAAGTCAACTTTACAAGTACAAGATGGAGTCATAGTTTGATACTGGTTGTTTGGGGTAGAAATCTGGAGGTCTCAGTTGACCACATACTCAATATGAGTCAGCAGTGTGATGTGGCCACTAAGAAAGCTAATGGGATCTTGAACTGCACTAAGACAGGCCTGGTGTCCACAAAGAGGGACACTGTCCTTTTTTCTGGTCAGAGTACATCTAGGGTGCTGTGTTCAGTTCTGGGCACCCCACTTATTAAGGATGTGGATAAGCTGGAGAGCATCGTCCAGGGGAGGGGAGGCTGGGATGGTTAATGATCTTGTGTCCATAGAAGATTCAGCTGAAGGAACTGGTATATTTAACCTGAGCAAGAGAAGAGTCAGAGAGATTTGGGATGAGAGCTGTCTTAAAGTATTTGAAATAGATTGTATATTGAAAGCATATTGAAGCTGTCATGAAAAAGACCATTAGTCTTCACCTCCCTGGCTCCAGAGGTCAGGATGAGGAGCCTTGGAGAGTCACTACAAAGAGGTATATCTAGGTTTGATATCAATTAAGCTGTCCCCAAGGGGAATGGGCCACCCATTGAAGGCTCCGTGACTTCTCGTCCTGGTGTGTTGCGAAAGGGATACTTGTTCAGTTAAAGGTCAGATTAGATGGTATCTCGGGTCCTTGCCAACTCATTCTGAGATTCCCTGGTCCTCCATCATAGAGGTCCTTAAATTTTAGCCTGGGTGACTTTTACTTGCTAGGAAGCTAGCTAACTAGCTAGGCAGGGAGCTAGCAAAACTTGTGAGCAGAGGAAAAAGGGACAGGATTGTATGTCTGTGTAAGAAAGAGGATTTTTCCAGGGTTTACAAGATGGACTTGAGTGGGAAGAGAAGGGGAGTGGGAGAATCTGTTAGGAAGTTATTGGAATAGTCTAGGAGGGGAGTAATCAGAGGCCGCCTGTGCTAGGGTGGGACTAGAGGGAGGGGGATGGTCTCAAAAGATGTTGCTGAGATGGAATTTTCAAGACTTGGGAACTATTTAGGAGAGGAAAGAGTCCAGGATTACAGATAGACAATCATTGCATTAGAAAGGGTTTTAGAAGCCATCAAGTCCAACTCCCTTATTTTACAGATGAGGAAACTGAGGCACAGAGAGATAAAGAGACTTGTCGAGGGTCACATAGCTCTAATGTATTATCAGATTGTAGATTTTGAGCTGGAAGGGACCTTGGAGGCCCTCAAATCCAACCCCTTCATTTTACAAATTAAGGAACTGTGGCTCAGAGAATTTGAGTGACTTGCCTAGGGGTGTGTGGCTGGTAAGTGTCTAAGGGGGGGATTTGAAGCCGGGCCTTTGTGACTCCAGGCCCACTGCCCTGTCCACTGAGCCTGTTGGATAAGGTCTCCCCAAGGTCTCATCTTGGCAGACCAGGGATGGAGATTACCAAACAACCCACCCCTCTCCCTTTCTCTCTCCCTGGCTACCACTTGTTTATTCCCCTGCAGATGAGCGAGGCAAAGACCACCTCCGGGCTGGGAAATTGAACCTCGTCGACCTGGCCGGCAGTGAGCGGCAGTCAAAAACGGGAGCTACAGGGGAGAGGCTCAAGGAAGCCACAAAAATTAACCTCTCACTATCGGCTTTGGGCAACGTCATCTCGGCCCTGGTGGACGGCCGCTGCAAGCACATCCCCTACCGCGACTCGAAGCTGACCCGGCTGCTGCAGGACTCCCTTGGGGGCAACACCAAGACCCTCATGGTGGCCTGCCTGTCCCCTGCCGACAATAACTACGATGAGACGCTCAGCACCCTGCGGTATGCCAACCGAGCTAAAAACATCAAGAACAAGCCTCGCATCAACGAGGATCCCAAGGACGCCCTCCTGAGAGAGTACCAGGAGGAGATCAAGAAACTGAAGGCCATCTTGGCTCAAACGGTGAACTCAAACCACTTGACAGGTAGGCTCGCCGGGGCCACCAGGGGACGCCGTGGCTCTTTGGCTGATCTGTGTGGGGATGAGCGTCAAAGCTGTAGATGTCTATTTGGATGGCACGTGTCTACAACCCCTTGTCATTGCCCTAGCTTCCTAATTGATCTCTCTTGTGCCGTGGTCTAATCCATCCTCCCACCCATATAGACTTGGACTAGAAAGGGAGAGGAATTTATACATTATCCTGGAGGGGATAGGGAGCTTCAGAAGGTTCTCGAGGAGAGAGAGTCTTTTAGGACATCCAACTATTTCACTCCTTCCTGGAGTAGGGGAGTAATGTGGAGTAAGTCTGGAAAGCTGTGATGGAACCAGATCGTGACTTTGTCTTTAAAGGTCACAGGGTTTTATTCTAGAGGCCACAAAGAGCCATTGGAGCTTAACGAGCAGGGAAGTAACGTGGGGAGCTCGGTACTTTGGGAAGGTCCCTCTGGCCAAAGTGGAGGATGTTTTCAAGTAGAGAGAGGCTTTCGGTCGGGAGAATAATTAGGAAGCTGTTGCAATAATCCACGGTGATTTGTTTTCAATTTTTGTATCACTATGAACGTAGCAGGCACTACTATATTTGTTGGATTTGTTGAGTTGAATCACTACCAGGTCGAAATAGGAACTCAATTCAATTAAACAAACATCGATTAAGTGCCTACTGTGTGGTAGACACCATGCTGGGCACTTGGAATGTGTGAAAGCCCAAATGATAAACAGACCCTGATCTCAAAGAGTTTTCATTCTGCTAGAGGTTTGCTGCCTTTACACAGATAAGTAGGTCTAAGAGGATTTGAGGAGGAAGACACACGTAGGGGAAATCATGAAAAGCTTCCTGTAGGAGGGGGCCCCTGAGATGGGTTCAGCAGGACCATTCCTGAACTTTGGAGTCCTTCAGGGAGGACACCTGCCCCCAAACTGTCCCTCAGGGTCTTTGTAGGAGATGGGATGGGACAAGATGTTTGCCCACCTTGGGGCTTCTTAAATCCTTCTGTTCTTAGGAGATGGAGTGGTGTTATTTGCCCTCATAAGAATGATCCCTTGCATTTTTCTTTCAGGCAGACCTGTTATTTTATTATAAGCATAGGAAGCTCCCAGTGAGAAATTTCCCTTGACTAATAAACCTGCTGCTCTGTAACTTATCATTTCAGGATTGCCTGGAGCCCCAGGACATCCCATGACTTGCCCATGGCCACCCAGTAGATAGCTGGGGCTGGATTCAAACCCAGGGCTTCCCAACCAGTGCTCTACCCACTGTAACATGCCTCCTCAGGTATCCAAGGTTGCCTGAGGTCTCCAGAGGCTAAGTCTAATGTAAACTATGCTGAAATCCCTCATGGATTGGTGATTTCTTGGTAGAGGCACACCTTCCCCAACACAGTTCTCGGCCCTTTCATGGTATAGCAGAACATCCTCATAAGTCGCTGGGGCTGAAAAAATTCATTGTTTGTAATTATAACAGCTGGCATTTATATTGCATTTTTATGTATCTGTATAAACATATATACACATCCATCCATCCATCCACACACATATATAATACATATATATGCATGTGTCTGTCTTTCTATCTTATCTATCTATCTATCTGTCTGTGTCTGTCTGTCTCATTTGAGCCTCACATCCTTTTCCCTCTGAGTATTTTGGTCTTCCCATCTGTATGACGGGGACCTTTTCCACTGAATTCTTGCCCACGTAGGCTAGGGGAGATAGTGGGCTCTTTGAAGCTTCCTGGCAAACCCCAGGGCAACAGTGGGTGTAGGAGGTGGGAGGGCCATGTTGATCATATCTGCCAGTTAGGGGGCAGGCCTCTTTCTCCTTGCTCCCACCACCCATGCACCGCCACCCTCCTCCGCCAGTCCCCATGGCAGCAGTGCTGAGCTGCTCATCAGCTGGGATGACTCACCCCCCCCACATGCTTATTAGACTGTCTTGCTCATCATGTGTCCTACCAAAATGTTCTGCTGTCACTAGAGACCGTGGGAATATGGGGTGAAAATGGCCGTGGCTCCCAGAAAGCCCCCAACCCTAACTCCAGAGCCATGATCGTCCAGCTCTTGGGGTCTGCTGTAATGCAGGGGCACTGAACCAGAGAGCCCCCAGACTCCTCCATCCATCTGGAGATGCTCCTTTCTCATCATACTCATAGGTTCACAGGTTTAAAGCAGAAAGGAAATTAGAGACCATCAAAGCCAGTCCTGTCATTTTACATATGAGGAAACCAAGGCCCAGGATCACATAGCGAGATCTGAACTCAGGTCTTCCTGCCTCCAGATTCAATGACCCCAAAGGTCATTGCAGGCATGCTGCCCATCAGTTCTGACTTGATAAGGGACTGAGGGGAGCTGCAAAAGCTGAGACAGAGGACCAGCCCTCATCAGAACCCTGAAGCAAGGGAACATTTGCCTGTGCTCCCATCTAGCCTTCTCCTTGGGGGTGGGCTGCATCTCCTATGATGTCATGGAGAGAGCGCTGTCCTTGGATTCCAGAGAACTCGGTCCAGCTTCTGGTCCGACCACTAACTCCTTGTGTGACTTTAGGCAAGACTTCAGGCAAGTTGGCTCCCTGGGCCTCAGCTTTACCTTCTGTAAAATAGGGATAACAACCCCTGCCTTACTGATGGGAAAACACTTTGTGAAGCATCAACCCTTTATAAGTAAAGGCCAGATGTTATTATATTTTAATGATGACGCCAAGGGCTCTCTGACCTCATCCCCAGAGGCAGGGCTGCCCAACCCACTCCCACATCAGCAGAGGCGATTTGGGTCCAGTTCTTTCCATAAAGCAGCTACAGAAGACCTACCGACATAAGGAGGCTTCCCTCTGGTTCCTTCCGATGGGCAGCTAGGGGGCGCCAGTGCACAGAGCGCTGGGCCTGGGAGTCGGGAAAACCTGAGTTTGAACCTTCCCTCAGATATTTATTGGCTGTGTGACTCTACATACATAGGGCTATACAAAATACATATATAGGCATATAGAGGACACGTATAAAGTGGATACAAGGTAACCTTGGAAAGGAAGGCACTTACTGGAACCAGGAAATGCCTTCTAGAATAGCATTTAGCCCTGGGGCTCCCTGAAACCCTTTCAGGGGGTTTGTGAGATCAAAACTATTTTCATAATAATACTAAGATGTTTTAATTTCTAATATGGTAAATATTGATAGAGAAAACCAAGGATGTGCTGGCAAATAGTTAACAACCAGCTCTGGGGAGAGGATATATTTATAATATACTTTTAAGTTTAATCTGCAAAATTATCATTTTCTCCATCACTTTCTTGAGCCTAGACAAGCAACCAAACAACGCATCAAGCCCTGATTTGTATTACTTGCCTATTTCTACGATGTAAATGCTCACAATGAAAATTTAATAATCAGCTTTCTTGAGCTGATATGAGCTGGCTCCAACATGCCCCCTGATATAACCCACATAACAGAAGCTCTTTGGGGGTAGGTGACCAATCAGTTTTGAGACTGTAAAGCATAAAAAGTTTTGAGAACCTCTATTCTAGAAGTAGTTCTTATATCAACCAATCAACATGTACTAAGTGCCTACTATTGCCGTGAACACCACGTGCCTACTACGTTCCCGTGAAGACTAAGTGCCTACTATGTGCCAGCCGCTGAGGATATAAGTACAAAGACTGAAGACTCCTACTTGCAATGAGCTTGTGGGGAAGAGAATTGTGTATAAAATATAGACAGAATTAATTTAAAGTGATGAAATACAAATATAGACAAAGTAATAAAATTCAAGGTAATCTGGAAGGGAGCTGGGGGAGTTAGGAAAGGATTCATGTAAAAGACGGTCTCTAAGATCAGGTGAGCCAATCACACGAGTTGATTGCACTAAGAATTTTAAAAAAATGTAAATAATTTTATTATGATTTCTATCTGTGCAAATGCATTTTAAAAACAAATAATTATAAGCAGGCCTTATTCATTAATTATTTTATAAGTTAATTATTTAATTTTGCTTTGAAATAAAGATTTTAGTTCTACTCTATTTTCCTTGCCTTACTGATAAAAAAACAGAAACCTACTATAGTGTCAGTCGATGCTGTTTTTTCTTATGAGGTATTCTTAAATTCTGACCCTTCTACCGTTATAAGAAGAGAGGGGCTTTATAAGAAAGGCAGGGGTAGAGGGGGAGCTAGATGGCGCAGTGGATAGAGCACTGGCCCTGAAGTCAGGAGGACCTGAGTTCAAATCCAGCCTTAGACCAAACATTTGACACTTACTAGCTGTGTGACCCTGGCCAAGTCACTTAATCCCAATTGCTTAAAAAAAAAGGCAGGGGTAAGAAGAGGGCATTTCAGACATGGTGATGAGGGAAGCACTGGCATTCTAGATAGGAGATGGAGGGTCTTGTGTGAGGAGCAGAAAGAGGGCCAGTTTGGCTGGTTCCTGGAATGTGGTGAGGGGAGTGATATCCTTTGAGGCTGGAAAGGTAGGTGGGGACATCGAGGCTTTGGAAACTAAACAGAAGAGCTTATGTTTGATGTAGAGGCAATAGGAAACCGCCAGAGTCGACTGAGCCAGGGAGTTACAGGGTCCTGATCTGTGCTTAAGGAAAATCACTTTAGAGAGTAGGGGTTGATCTTCATTGCTGGAGGAATTTCCTCCTCAGGAGTGCCTTATACCAGAGGTGTCAAACTTGAACAAAACACCCTGCTGAACCTGATTAAAATGCATTTGGGGAAATCTTTAACAGGATAAATAAAAATTGGATACAACCTAGATAATGTTGATTTGTGGTTTTCTAGGTCAATATGACTGCCTGCCGGGATCTGTTTCTATATGAGGTTGACACCATGACCGTAGACCAGCGGCTCCCCAAGTCCGGTCTAAACTCCAGATAAACATATTTAATTTATTTATGTGATGTATGTAAAACTGTTTGTTATCGATAGGATTATACAAACTAATTTCGAGTCGTGGTTTCTAAAGCACTTGTGTGCTTGGGATGACACATTGACCCCTGTGATCTGCTTCCTGCCAGCCTTGTTATCGAACCAGCTGTGTGGTAAAGTTGAGCAGACCGAGGAGAAGCCGCCACCCCCACCCCCTCCTCAGCCAGACACCGAAGCAGAGAAGCAACTGATTCGGGAGGTAAGAACTAGCAAGGGCTTGGGCCTGGGAAATGAGGCAGCCGTTTCCCCAGCTGGGGTCCAGCAAGGTGAGGTGCGACTTACTCTGTAAGGGTCATGTAGAATGTCAGATTCAGAAGAGGGTTTTGAACTCGGACCCACTGATTTCAAATCCAGTGCTTTTCTCATGTTGACTTCTTTGTGTCGCAAGCTCGGTGATTGGAGTCCATGGTCTTTCATGAGGCCAGGTCTTGGCTTTGATTTTCACGGGGTCCAGTGATCTTTCCTCTACTCCATGGCTCCATATGGCACCCAAGAGGTCTGTTGCCTGGGGAGTGATTGGCAGTCACGGCTTGTTCCCACAAGGTCAGGGAGCCTAGGCACTCTCTGGGAACCTACCTTTATAAGGACAAGAGAAAGCAAGCTTACCTGCTTGGAATGAGTCCTAACCATGGACATAGATGCAGGACCCTGAGGAATTCACTTCCCCTCTGTTTGCCTCGGTTTCTTCCTCTGTAAAATGGGGATAATAATAGTGTCTCTTCATTAGGTGGTGAGAATCAAATGATTCATGGTGAATCTTAAAACACTTATTAAAACAATGATGATGATGATGATGATGATGATTGTTACTCTTACACCAGACATAATGGGGGACTCAGAAGTCCTAGGATCACAAGGTTCTATGACTTCAAAGTTAATCTATTCCAACCCCTTCATTTTATGAATGAGGAAACTGAGGCCCAGAGAAATTAAATGACTTACCAAATGCCACACAGGTAATAAGGGACAGAGGCACCTCTGAGGTCCTTGGTTTCCCTTTGGGTTGCCTATGTCTAGGCTGTTTGAAGGAGTATGGCTCTGGATTCTTCTGTAGCGAGGGAAGAAGCCCTAAGCCAGGGGACCTGGATTCTGGTCCCTGCTTTGCCGGCTTTAACAGGCTGGCTAGCTTTGAGCAATTAACTCTATCTTTGTGAACCTCAGTTTCTTCTTGTGCAAAATAATAATAATGATAATGATAATAATAACTATTCCTCTTTCTACAAAGTCCTTCCATACTTCATCCCAGTGTGGATGGTACCTTGAATTCTCAAAGCCTATGTCAGCATGAGAAAAGGCCTCCAGCTGGGCCCAATGACAGACTGAGGAGATGGTCATTACCAGGTAGTTGGTCACCAAGAGATAAATGATTTAGGCAAAAGTAATTCATTAACATTATGATTAGCAAACGTGGCCTCCAAGTAGAGATGAGAAAATAGATCTGTCTCCCTCTCTTCCTTATGGAAGATATTGACATAGTAGTGTTTCTCCCCCCAACCCTACCCCCTTTTTCATTCTTTGTTACAAGGGATGATTGGTTAGGTAGGGAAAAGATCTGTTTAAAAATTAAGGTAATGTTAAAACGAAAAGTATATATACAAATTTAAAAAAAAAACTCCAGAAACAACTTATGCACTCAGTGTGCCAGGTCCCTTTAACTGCTACCAGGTCCTGGTGAAGCTGGACAGGAAGGGGTCCCTTCCTTAGATGACAGCAGGTATCCCCCCAGGCCTCTTTGCTCTTGGTTGAGCCCCAGGGAAGCCTGGGATAGTGGAAAGAGCACTGGATTTGAGTTGGAATCCTTGCTTTGCCAGGAACTTCTTGTATGACTTTGGACAAGGCTCATTTATAAGGGAAGGGGAGGGGAGGGGAGGGGAGGGGTTGAGCATTTATATAGTACCTACTATGTGCCAAGCACTGCACTAAGTGCTTTACAAATATTATTTCATTTGATCCTCACAACAACCCTGGGAGAGAGGTGTTATTATTATCACCCTAATTTTGCAGATGAGGAAACTGAGGCAGACAAAGGGGAAATGACTTACTCAGAGTCACACATCTAGTAAGCGACTGAGGCTAGATTTGAACTCAGGTTTTTCTGACAATTTTTGCCCGGAGCAAACCACTGCACCAGCAGTTACTGATAATTGAATGGATTGGTCTAGATTATCTCTAAGGTCCCTTTAGCTCTTAATCTTCTGATCCTCCGATCATGCGTATGCTGCCCTGTCTTTCAGGAATACGAGGAACGGCTGGCCCGTCTAAAGGCTGATTATGAAGCAGAACAGGAGTCAAGAGCCAAGCTGGAAGAGGACATCACCGCCATGCGCAATTCATATGATGTGAAACTTTCTACCTTGGAAGAGAACCTCAGGAAGGAGGCTGGTGGGTACCGTCCAGGGGCGAGTGGTGGTGGGGGGTATTGAGCGCTAAGATTGGGGCTCATCGGCATCTCATGGCATCATCGCTCTGGAAGGGACCTCAGAGGCCATCTGGTTCAAGCAGAGGAAGAAACTGAGGCCCAAAGAGGAGGTAATAAGCGTCAGAAGTGGGATTTGAACCCAGGCCCTCTAATTTCAGATCCAGGGCCCTTCCCACTTCTCCACGCTGAACCATTTGGTTCAGTGGTTTAAGCCCAGTTTTCGTGAGGCCAAGTCTTAGATGTGATTCTCACGGCAGGTGATGATCTTTCCTCTGCTTCCTGATTACATATGGCGCCTGCTAGCACAGGTCTGCCATTGATCCCATGGAAAAGCGGACCGGGATGATTTGTAGGGCTGGGGAAACACCCCAAAGGGCTTGTCCTCCCAGTGGTGGCTCAGGGATGTTCTGTTCATTCATATGAGACACTCCATTGTTTTAAAATTCTGTCTAGCCCCCTTTTGGTCTTTTTCAATGTTTTGTGGGTGCTCTTTTCTTGTCTTCTATCACTATCTCACCAAATCCTCTGCACCTAATAGAATTCTCCCTGGTAGTAAATAGTTACAATCAAGCAAAACAAATGAAGACATGAACTATATTTGAATATGTATGTTTCTAATGAGGAAACATATTTTGCATGACTTTATATGTCCAATGGGCATCATATTTCTTGCTTTTTCAAGGGTGACTTGCCCAGGGCCACAGAGCTAGTAAGCGTCTGAGACTGGATTTGAACTTGGGCACTTAGGTGCCTACAATAATATCACAAATGTCATGCCATGGGCAGAGTGATCCCAGTGCAATGGGCTGGTCAGGAAAGACTTTCTGAAACTGGGTAGCCAGCTGACCCCAGAAGGATGGGTAGGGTTTGGATAAGGGGAGAGGGGTAAGAGGGAATGGTAGGACATTCTAGTTGGGGAAATGATGTGAACAAAGACACAGAGGCTGGAATATACATGTGTGTTGGGGGGATTAGTGAGGAAACTCTTCTGTTCCCTTTTTTATTTTATTATTTTTTTTTTAGGCAGTTGGGGTTAAGTGACTTGCCTAGGGTCACACAGCTAGTAAGGAGGAAACTCTTCTGGCTGAAGCTTGACCACTTGGAGCCTTGAATATAAACTAGCCATTTAGAGAGAGTGTGCTTTGGGATAATTTGGAGCAAACTTTCTCTTATTGGAATGATCCTGGGTTTGGGGAAGTCACCTGAGCTCAACATTCCCTCTGCCCCTTAAAAAAAAAAGTAACAAAGAAGTTTTCATTTTCCAGAGGCTGCCCTCAAGGCCGAGGCCCTGTCCAAGGCTGAGGCCCTGGCCAAAGCTGAGGCACTGGCCAAAGCTGAGGAACTGCTCAGGATTGAGACCCTGTCCAAGGCTGAAGCTGTCCTCAAGGACGAAGACCTTCTGAAATCCGAGGGCCAGTTGGAGGTACTCCTTCAGGGCCCATCGTCGGAGGTCTTGTCATTGGAGCTCCCCTCGTTGGAGGTATCCGACAAGCCCGAGGAGCCCTGCCAGCCTGAGGTCCCCTTCCTACCTGAGACCCCCTTCCCATCTGAAGTCCCCCCTAAGGCCGAAGTCCCATGTGTGTCTGAGGAGCTGTTTCCATCAGACACTCCTGCTGAGCGAGAGGCCCCACTGCCATCTGAAATCGCTGCATCTGAAGCTCTGTTCAAGCCCAACGAGTTGTCCAAGGATGAGGTCCTCCCCAAGCCTGAAGCCTTCTTCAAGGGTGAAAACAACTCTGAGCAGACAATGCAGCCTTCCCTGGAGCAGACATTTGTGGAGTTGCAGCCTCTTATGCTAGACATTACCTCTCCGGAAGCTGAACAGATCACAGGGCAGCTGGCCATTTTCGATGAGCTGGAGGTAAAGCTGTCCAAGATTTCCTCTGGGGCTGCCAACAAGCTGGATATATCAGAAATCCTACTGCAGGTATCTTTCGCTTTGTGGTGACTTGATGAAAGGAAGCTTGCTACCCTTGGATTTGTAAAGCAGGGTACGCCTTCTAAAGCAGTATGTTGGAAGGGCATGACTAGAATTTGTAATCATGGTGCCTCTCCTCCTTGATGGCCTGGGGATGGGCACAGTAGACTTCAGGGACCCTGGAGAAGGGAGGACAAATCTAGCCCTCCCAGAAAACTGGGGATACATAGACTGGATTTTGTAAATCAGTAACTTCTCAAGGAGGAGTCCATTCTGTGTCCTGTCTGGGAAGAGCCCGCCAGTGACTTGGTTAGGGGAGGCAAATGCCCTCAGTTATTCCTGGGGCAAAGGAGCAGTGGGAGATGGAGGAAGGGAAGGAGATGGAGGTGTGAGGCTGACCTTGAAGTGCTCTTGTCTGAGCGGTGGGTGGAAGAGGCCATGGGACTGGAAGAGTGAGGGATGTAGAACATGCTTCCTTCTCTCATGTGGAGGAATTCAGCTCAGCCTTTCACTTCTAGATTGTCTTTGAATATTCCTCCTCCTCTTTCCTCTAACTAAAGAACTCTATTTCCCCTCTTCTTTTCCTTCTCTCACCCATTTTTCCTCTCTCCCCTTCTAGCCTTCACTCCCTTCCTCTCTCCTCCTTTCTTCTCTTGCCTTTTCTTCTTTCCCTTCTCTCTCCTTTACTTCCTCCTTCCCTTCTCCTCTTATCTCCTTCCTCCTTCTTTTTCTCTGTTCTCCTTTGTTTTCTTCTTCTCTTTTCTTCCTTCTGTCTTCAACTTCCCTTTTCTCCTATTTTCATTCACCCCTTTTCTCTCCTCCCCTTCATTACCCTAGGTGAGTCTTGTAACTTCTCTGGGGCTCATCTGCAAAATGAGGGGATTGCATTCATTGACTTCTAAGGACCCTTCCATCTATGATTCTCTGATCCATCCTCTCTTTATCCCCTTTCTCCCTCCCCCTTTCTCTGCCTCCATCTCCTTCCTTCTCTCTCCTTTCCCTTTCATCTTTTTCCTCCCCTCCATTCTCTTCTTCCCTCTTTCTTTCTCCTCTTCCTCTCCTCCTCTCTTCTTTCCCTTTCTTCTCTCCTTTCCCCTTCCTTCTCTCCCTCTCTCTCCTTTCCCCTTCCTTCTCTCCTTCTCTCCCCTCTTCCTTTCCTTTCTTCCTTCTCTCCTCTCTTCTCACTTTCCCCTTCATCTTTCTTCTCCTTCTCCTATCTTCTTTCTCTTCTCTCTTCCTTCTCTTTCCTCCTCCTCCCTTCTCTTCTTCTCTATTCCTTTCCTCTCTTCTTCCTCTCCTCCCCTCTTCTCCTCTCCCCTTCATCTCTCTCCTCCTCCTCCTCTTTCTCTTCTTCCCTCTTCCTTTCTCCTCCTCTTCCTCTCTTTCTCCCCTCTCTCCTTCCCTTCCCCTTCTCTCCTTCTCTCTCCTCTCCTCAATGCAGGGGGAGAAGGTGTTGAATGCCAGTGTTAAGGGAGGAGGTGAGTAGTTGGGAGAGGGTGCTGCTGCTCAGATCACCCCATTCCTTTTTTCATCCCTCCCCATTTCAAGTATTCCATGACCGACCTGCTGCTGCTGAGTGACATGAAGCCTGAAGCCGACCCTGGCTTTGAGACAGTGCCCAAAAGTGTGAGTAGCTGCTCACACCTGCCTTCCCCACATAGAAGTCTGAACAAGGTTCTAACCAAGACAAGGTTTCTAAAGGTCTTCAGTCCTGCACACATCGCCTCCCTTCCAGGGTTGTTGTGATACAAATTCAGAGAAGCAGGAGCCTTGCTTGTCAACAGTGTGAGAGATTCATCCCTTTCCCTGGTGCCCCCATTGAAGGGTCCCCCAGCATCTCCCCGATTCCCAGAATGCCTTGCTACAAAGCTGCCATCCTGTAGTTATGGAACTGGACTAGTTCTATGTTATCCAGGAATTGGATTCATCCCATTCATTAAGCCCCTGCTGTGTGCTAGAACAATGGGGATAGAGGGACAAGAATGAATGGGTCACTGCCCTCAGGGAGCGTATATTCTGCTGAAGAGATACACTACATACATGGAGCAGTAGATACAGGCCACGTGCCACATAGATACAAGGTGGTTTCCGGAGGGAGAGAGTGCTGCTACCTGGGGCCATCAGGGTGAAGCCCATTGTAGGAGGTCCCACCTGCCCTATGCTCAGATGACAGGCTAGCATTGACTCCTGGTAGGGACTCCAAGCAGAAACACTCAAGTTTCCTGAACTCAGTTCCTTTGAAACGAGACATAGCTCTTCTTGAATTTAGAGCTGAGAGGGTCCTTAGAGGCCATGGAACCCAACCCCATCATTTTACAGATGAGGGGAAAAAGCACAGCATCTCTCAGGTAGTAAGGGTCGGAGGCAGGATTTGAATCCAGGCCCCTAGGCATTGCAATAAAGCAAGAAATTATTTTTGTTTGTTTGTTTCTTTAAGTATTTGCTTTAGACTTACTGGAGTTTGAGGAAGGTAATTAATTTTCACTCAATGTATTTGACTGAAATACAAACTTTATGCTGGGTTCAGTGAGGGGAAGAGACAAAGTTTAATTAGGACACTCATCCCAGGTCTCATAGAGCTTAGAGTTTGGCGGGAAGATGAGTCACAAATGATAATATACAGTATCACTGTAGCAAGTACCTGTGCCTGAGATTCTGTGCCTGAGATTCTGTGCCTGAATGAATGAGTGAAAAATGAAGTGTTTATTAGGTAGCAGGCACTCTGCTGAGTGCTAGGGACACAGAAGCAGAAGTCAGACAATCCCTGCCCTCAAAGAGCTTCCATTCTACCAGGGGGAAACGGCACAAAGGGGGGAAGCAGTGCCCAGGAAAGGGCGTTTTGCTTTGAGAAGTCACAGGGATGGGGAGTGGAGTCATAGGACTTCAGTGTCTAACACCCCCATTTTACAGATGTGGAAATGGAGGCTCAGAGAGAAGTGACTCACCCAGGGTTACACAGCTAGTGTCTGAGGGAGGATTTGAACTCATGTCTTCCTGACTCCCAAGTCTAGCGCTCTCTTCCACTATTCCATGCTAGACTCTAGGTTCATAGCATCTCAGATTTAGCGCTAGAAGGGAGAGTAGGCAGTGGTGGAATTGATTTGATTACGGTGTCCAGAGCAGTCATGGAATCATAGATTTAGGGCTGAACAGACGACAGGTAATTGAGTTGAACCTGTTCAGTTAAGCAGCCAGCAAGCATTCAGTAGTTTCTTCCCGTGTGCCAGGTAGCGGGGCACGACACAAAGGCAAAGCAGGCCCTGCCCTCCCGGAGCTTACCTGAGGAGCCGCAGGCGGCCAGGAGATTGCTGGAATGCATGGGATTTCTGGTGCCTGGGGCCAGCCAGCCAGAGTGGACCGTGTGCAGTTGCGCTGACTGCCTCTCCAGTCAGAACAGTTCAGCCCCAGAGCAGATCTGGGGGAAGCTTTCCTGGTGGGCGAGGTGGCACTGTGGTGGTCAAGGGTGGGCAGGAATTCAGCAGGGGAAGAGAGGAGGGAGGCAATTCTAGACAGAAAGCATAGAGTAAGCAAAGGAGTGGAGGTGGGAGAGTGCAGGCTGACTTCTGGGGAAGGAAAGGAGTCCGGTTTGGCTGGAGCATAGCACTCCCAGGCCCACAGAGCAGAAGAGTGAGTGGAATAGGTCCATCGCGACCCCTCCATTCCCTCCAGTGCCTGACGTGCTGGCCACCTCCGTCCCTCCTCTGGCCCCACCTTTCGAGCCGGCAGAAGCCTCATTCTTCTTTTTGCTCCTGCCCAGGAGGCTGAGCAGCCACCACAGATAGCCCAGCACGTGGGGATCCCCAAAAAAGAGAGCGTAGGAGTGGAAGTGGCGGTGGTGACAGAGGAAATCCCTGCGGCTGTGGACCAGGAGCAGGTGCTGGCCAGGTGAGAGCTGGAGGAGAGGGCTGCTCTAGGGCCCTGCAGGAGAGAGGCTGGGGCGGGCACAAGCATTGCGGGAGTCCATGGGCCTCTGGGCTGATCAGAGAAGAGAAAGCTAACCAGATCCACAATAATGGAGGGATGGTCTGCAGAATAAGGGAGGTGAGAGTGCTGCGCCCTACTCTGCCCTGGGCAGACGACATCTGGCACATTCTTTCCATGTCTGGGACCATAATTTAGTTGACAAGCTTGACGAGCTGGGATATATCCAGAAAAGGGTAACTAGGCTGAGGGAAGGGGAATGGAAATTGATATGCATACCCTCCCAACTCTGATGTCCTGTGTTCTAAGTCCCCTCCCAGCTCTGACATGCTGTGTTCTAAGGTTCCTCCCATCCCTGACATTCTGTGTCCTAAGGGCCCTCCTACCTTTGACATTCTATGTTCCAGGGCCCCTCCCAGCTTTGACGTCCTGTGTTCTAAGATCTCTCTCTGCTCTGACACTCTATGTTCTAGGGCCCCTCCCAGTTCTGACATTCTATGTTCTAAGGCCTTTCCCAATTCTAACATTCTGGGTTCTAAGGCCCTTCCCAGCTCTGACATTCCATGTTCTAAGGCTTCTCCCAACTCTGACATTCTGTAATTCTGTGAAATAGATTCTGAAAAATCAGCTTGGTTCAGCAAACATCCCCCCTTCCTTTCCTGAACGTTATGCCCTGCCTAACCCCAGGTATGTTTTTGTGCCCTGGTATGCCTCATATTTTCTCAGGAGAACTTCCCTGCTGGGCAGAGACCTACAAGGACAGACAATAGGCCTCTGCAGATTTGCCCAGAGTCATATAGCTAAGAAGTATCTGAGGCAGGATTTGAACTCGGGACTTCCTGCATCCAAGTCCAGCATTCAGATCTACTGTGTCACCCTACTGCCTTGCTGACTTGACCCATTTAGAAGTAACACTGCTTCCCCAGCCCTACGCTACTTCATTTGCCTCACCAGTATCTCACACATACACACAGATAGGTGTGTCCTCTTGGAAAAGGAAAAGTCACGGTGCAAGACTACACAGAGTCACATCTGCATGGAACTGCCACTAAGGTTGTGTGTCAGGAGCCTTGTCCGGGGCGTCAGACTTTAATAGCTCTCAATTATGTTTTCTACTTCACTTTCCACTTCTAGCACCTAGTTAGCAAGAATAATTGGTCAGCACAGGAAGCCATCAGAGGAGGCCTCCATTTTGTCCCTGGGCTGGACCCCGGGTGAATGTCTCATACTCTTACTCTCCTCTTGGGACCTAGCTGTGTCCCAGGGTCTTCGGTTCCCATCACAGGGCAGTGTCAGGAATGTCCCCTGAATTGCAGTGGTCTTAAAAAGTTGATTGGAGGATGGCTTTTGTGTCATTTTCCCCAAGCTCAGTGCATATTTGTGCCTCCTCTCCCAAGGTCAGGGACCTCTCCGAATGATTCAGCTTTCTGCATCAAGCTGGCTTCTCTGGTGCTAAGGATTGAGCTTGTGTGTGTGTGTGTGTGTGGTCACCGTTAGCTCTGCAAGGGCAGGGACCAGCACAGTACTCTGCAAACAGCAGGCCCGTAGAGGCTGAATGAATGCATGCATGAATGGGTCTGGGCCATCTCCAGACATCCTGGTCTATATCTGGCCACTGGACCCAGATGGCTCCAGAGGAGAGAGTGAGGCTGGTGACTTTGCACAGCCCTGCCTCGTTTATATCCAATTCATTTGGAAGTCAGGCATCACCTTCCTGATGTCAAGATCCTCTTAGAAAATGAAGGCCAAACCCAATCACAACCACAGCCACACAACATGAATGGATGCTTTATGACAAAACTCGTTGTGGAAAGATGATCTCCCTGACCTGGTCCCCAGCTGCTCTGATGAGCCCCAAGCACCCCATTGTGCCTCCTGGGCTTAGCCATGCTTGGAAAGAGCTTTCCACTTCATTTTTTTTTTTTAGGCATAGTAAATGTCAAGTGTTTGGTCTGAGGCCGAATTTGAACTCAGGTCCTCCTGACTTCAGGGTTGGTGCTCTATCCACTGCGCTACCTAGCGGCCCCCTTCCACTTCGTTTTTTTAAAAAGTTGTACTTTTTTTTTTTCCCTGCATCACATTCATTTCTCAATATTTCCCTCCAGCATCCTACATTGAGGGAACCATCCCAAGTGTAACCTCCTTCCAAATTTGGCAAAACCATGCAACATATTGATGTGTGATAGTATATACAACATTCCACACCCATAGTCCCTCACCTTTCAAACAAAGGAGGGAGGTGAATTTTTTTTCTTCCTTCTCCAGGGCCAGACTTGGTCATTAAAATTAGACACAGTTCAGGTTCATATTTAGATCAGGTGGCATGTTCTTTAATCTGGGAGTCAGGAGATCAGAGTGGCTCTGCTACTACCTTTGTGACCTTGGGCGAGTCCTTTCTCTAAATCTGAGCCTTGTATTACTGACCTTCCAGGACTATTGTGGGGAGAATATTGTGTAATCCTTGAAGTCTTAGGGAAGAATGAGTTGCAGTCACCAGCATTATTATTAATTTTAACACAAGGGAGAAAGGAAACTCAGAGGGTGCACTGGGCTCTCCAGGAGAGCTGGGAGCAGGCTGAGGCTGTCTGGTGTCCCAGGCACATGGTAATCAGCGCCCAGAGAAGAGCTTGGGTTGTGCTGGATGTCTGGGGGTGGGAGAGCTCCTGACTGCTTAGCCAAGCAGGATCCCATTTGGTAGCCAACAAAGGCTGCTGATTTAGACAGTTTAAAATCAAACACCAGCTGTGGGAAAGCAGGTCTGAGGAAGAGGACAGAAAGGAAGGGCAAGGATCTCTCAGTGAGAGCACAGACCCCTCCCAGCTCTGACATCCTGCATTCTAAGGGCCCTCCCATCTCTGACATTCTGTGCTCTAAGGGCCCTCCCAGCTCTGACATCCTGTGTTCTAAGGTAACTCCCACTCTGACATCCTGTGTTCTAAGGGCCCTCCCAATTCTGACATTCTGTGTTCTAAGGGCCCTCCCAGTTCTGACATCCTGTGTTCTGAGGGCCCTCCCAGAACTGACATTCTGTGTCCTAAGGGCCCTCCCAGCTCTGACAGCCTGTGTCCTAAGGGCCCTCCCAGCTCTAACATCCTGTGTTCTGAGGGCCCTCCCAGAACTGACATTCTGTGTCCTAAGGGCCCTCCCAGCTCTGACAGCCTGTGTCCTAAGGGCCCTCACATCTCTGACACTCTGTGTTCCAAGGACCCTTGCAAGTTCATTTACAGATATTTTCTACCAAATGGAAGTTTTTAATGAGAAAAGTGTTTGGGAACAGAGATACTCTTGTGTTCTCTATTCCTGGGGAAATAGCCATACAACCCAACCTCTTTCACTAAGGGATACATTAAAAATTTCATGTCCCTCAGACATCCCCTTGAGTGTCAAAAGTAGAGGAAGTTAGGGGCCCCTAGGTGGTGCAGTGGATAGAGCACTGGCCCTGGAGTCAGGAGGACCTGAGTTCAAATCCAGCCTCAGACGCTTAATAATTACTAGCTGTGTGACTCTGGGCAAGTCACTTAACCCCATTGCCTAACCAAAAGAAAAGAAAGAAAGAAAGAAAGAAATAGAAAAGTAGAGTCAAAAACCTTAGATAATAGATTCAAAAAGTGAAATTTGACTGTGCTCTCTCATTTGACCCACTAACAGTACTCCAAGGCAGATTGGGTCAGTGCTATTAGCTCCATTTTGTAGATAAGAAAACTTAGAGAAATGAAGACTGGTACAATATCGCAAAGACAGTGGGGATCACCACCAGGTCACCAGGGTGTACCAGTGAAATGTTCACAATGCTTTAGGAATTTCTAACATAGGAATATGAGGCATCCTTTATCAGAGAGAAAGGAAGTCTGTGGCCAGGAATAACAATGGAGCCTGGAGGGAGAGAGAGGTGGTGTAAATGTTGCCAGAACTGAGGAGGAGTACCCTGGTTTGTGACTGTCCTTGCAAGATTTCAGGAGGTCAGCTGTAAGATAGCCATGCCTTTAAAACATAGAATGTTAGCAACACAAGTTATTAGAGCTGGGAAGGGCCTTAGAACCTAGAATAAGAGAACTGGAAGGGACCTGAGAACATAGAATGTCAGAGCTGGGAGGGCCCTTAGAATAGAGACTGTCAGAGCTGGGAGGGTTCTTAGAACACAGGATGTTAGAGCTGGGAGGGCCCTTAGGACACAGAATGTCAAAGCTGGTAATGATCTTAGAACACAGAATGTCAGAGCTGGGAAGGCCTTAGAACCCAGAATGTCAGAGCTGGGAGGGCCCTTAGAACACAGGATGTTAGAGCTGGGAGGGCCCTTAGAACACAGGATGTCAGAGCTGGCAGGGGCCTTAGGACATAGAATGTCGGAGCTGGAAGGGCCCTTAGAACACAGGTGTCAGAGCTGGGAGGGCCCTTAGAACCCAGAATGTCAGAGCTGGGAGGGCCCTTAGAACACAGGTGTCAGAGCTGGGAGGGGTCTTAGAACACAGGTGTCAGAGCTGGGAGGGGTCTTAGAGCTCATCTAGTCCAATTCTTTCATTTTATGGAAGAGGAAATGGGTCCAGAGAAGCAAAATGAGTTGCCCTCAAATGGCAGCATGAGTTCGTGGCAGAGGCTTGAGTGAGATCTGAGTTTCTGGGCCGCTTTCCCAGCCCAGGCCATTTCTTTCTACTGGCCAGTTCTGCCTACGGCTCTTTTCATTCTCCCCTCTGAGGGCCTGGCCTGGCTGGAGGCTCTCACCCTTCCCCCTCCCAGCTGGCTCTCTCTGTCTCTCACTGTGTGTCCCAGGCTGCACATGCTGGAGCAGCAGGTGGTGGGAGGAGAGCAAGCGAAGAACAAGGACCTGAAGGAGAAATTGAAGCGGCGCAAACGCTACGCAGATGAGCGGAAGAAGCAGCTGGTGGCAGCCCTGCAGAACTCTGATGAGGACGGAGGTGACTGGGTGCTCCTGAACGTCTACGATTCCATTCAGGAGGAAGTGAGAGCCAAGAGCAAGCTCCTGGAGAAGATGCAGAGAAAGGTAAATGCCAGCCTGGAGCAGGCGTGGAGCGGTGGATTCAGTGCCAGTCCCGGTCTGCCGTTCATCTCCCCTCTCCAGGCGTTTGCACTGGCTGTGCCTCATGCCTGGAGCACCTTCTCTACTCTTCTCTGCCTCTTGGCTTCTCCAGCTTCCTTCAAGAATCACTCAAATCCTTCCTCCTGTAGGTGGCCTTTCCTGTTTTCCTTTTTCCCTGTTCACAAGGATGCTTGTGCCTTCCGCTTCCTCTGTCCATCTATCTTACACGTAAGCGTCTTGAGGGCGCTGACTGTCTTTTGCTTTCTTTGTGTTCTGAGCATGGTGCCTGGCACATAAATACTTGTAGTCCGACCCGGACCTCGTACTGATCACTTTTCTTCTCTGCGACACAATTTCCCCATCCGTAAAATCGGGGGACTGGACTGAATGATTTCTAAGATCTCTCCCTTAGATAAGAAGCACATTAGAATGCACAGGTCAGCATCAGGGCCAAAAAGACCTGGGTCTGAGGCCCCTGTTTGGCACGCGCCAGCCGTCTGACTGCAGGCAGGTGACTTAGCCCCTCAGTGCCCAAGCCCTGGAGATTACAGACAGTATTCACGGGGGGAAGAGAGGAAGTGCTTTACCAGGCTTTCTCTACCAGGGTGACATCAAAGGAGTGTTTTCAAAAAGAGAAAACCACAACAAAACACAGCAACCAAATCTCCTTACCGGTGGTCCCCACTGCCCAGCACCTAGAACTCACTGTAGCAACAGCTGAGCCCCCCCAGAACACATCTCCAAATCTGTCAGTGACCCCATGGTATACCAAGGAGCAGTGGAAAGGACAATGGGTCTGGAGAGAGAGGACCTTGCTTCCGATCCCACTTCTGCCCCTTAGTACCAGGGTGACCTTGGGCAAGTGGTCTCTCTGGACCCCAGTCTCCTCATCCTTCAGTTGAGACAGTTGGATCAGATGGCCAGCAAAGTCTGATCCATTCATCTGGTCTTCTTTGCCAGACTCTTCTCTCTCCTTCACTTCTCGAAACCCGATTGGTTACCAGTTACCAGTTGGAGGGAGCTAGATGGTGTCAGGAGGACCTGAATTCAAGTGCTGTGTGATCCTAAGCGAGAGACAGCCTCAGGTTTCTCGTCTATGAAATGGGGATGATAATAGCACCTACCTCCCAGGGATGTTGTGAGGATCAAGTGAACTGGGCTCATAATAAAGGAAACCATTTATATCGAAATACAATTATCAAGAATTTTTTAAAATCGAGTTCACAGGCCCCAGGCTTAAGAATCCCTAATTTATAGCTTTCTTCTGATCCAAGAATCTGGTAACGTGGGAAAAAAAAGGAAATGAGTTTAATGCAGCATGATGTCTTTTTTTTTAAATGTATTTTATTGACGCCTTTTGTCTTTCCATCATAGTCATTTCTGGGGGCAGGGGGAGTGGTGAACCCATGTCATTCCCTACAGATCGAGTGCTCCCTTGTAACAAAGCAAAATCACCCGATGTGGTGACTGCATCTGTAGATATGGGCATATGGTACTGTGCCCTGGTTACATCCCATCTTAATGCCATGGGGACAAGTTGTTTCATTATTTGTTGTCCAGAAAAACCATGTTGAAGCCATGCTGGTTCCTTGTGAGCAAGACTTACTCTTCCATATGTTAGAAAAGTATTCCTTTCTAGAATTCCACCAGGGATTGAAGTCATATTCACTACCTATAGTTTGTAAATTCTATTCTCTAAATTCCACCCTCCCCCCCAGCTTTTTGGGAAAATTTCATTTGCCCTTCTCCAATCTTGGGGTACCTCTCCTCTTCCTTCTCCATGACCTTTAAGGGATCACTGAACGTTGGCTCCATATTCTGCCCATTTTCAGTGTCCTAGGAAGCAGTTCACTGGGGATGGGTGACTTGAATTCATCTCAGGCAGCTGAGCAATCTCTGATTACCTCTTTACTTAGCTTGAGTATCAATTCCCTCTTAGCCTTTGCCACAAAGGTTACCAGTTCATAGGAGGAGGGAAACTGAGAATTATCTGGAGAGACTGATCGATACGGGTGTATTGGGAACTCATCAACCAGCTTAAATGTTAAAAAAGAATGTACCAAAGATGGAAATTAGGGCAGGTAACAGCGGTTAATGCAAAGCCTAGCACAATCCTATAATAATAGTGTTAGGAATGCTAAAGCTCAGAATGAGCTGAGATTTCTGAAGAAAGCAAAGAATGACAAAAATAGAATTTAAAGCTATCTAGAGGAGCAGAGCAGGATCAAAGAAGGGACGGGTGAGATGTTGGTAACTGATGACAGGGCAGGCAGAGCTGACTTAGCACAGAGCCTGGCACATAGTAAGCCATAGTAGTAAATGCTAATCGAATGACTTATTTTCCTTCTATTTTCTCTGCCAAAGAGAATGACTTTGAGTCCTGGAAAGGAAAGGACAAAAATGGCTATTTTTTTTCTTTTAAATAATGGTTTGAAAGGAGTCCAGTGATTCTTTGCAAATCTCTACTGGCTACTACCCAAATCCCTCTGGCTTTCATCAAATGACCAATAATAGCCCCCAGACCAATCAGGAGCTTAGATAAGTAAGGAGATGGTAAGGGCACTTAGCTCCCCTGATGAATTCAAGGCATCTGGCCTGAATGCACTACTTCCTTAAACAACAAAAGAGCTAGCTGGATCACTCGGCGTGATACTTGAAATATCATGGAGAAGGGGAAAGTTGTCACAGGATTGGAGAAGGGCAAATGTTGTCCTGATTTCCAAAGAAGGGAAGGGAATCAAGTCTGGAAACTATAGGCAGTGAACTTGACTGATTCCTTAGAATGGATGATTAAAGAGAAGGTTTGTGATTATGTAGAAGTGATCCCATGGTCCCACATGGCTCCAACAAAAACAGATCTTGCTAGACTAGACTTAGTTCTTTCTTTTCTTTTTGACAGGGTTGCTACACAGATAGGCCTGGAGAATGTTATTGAGTTTACCTTGATTTTACCTAAGATTACCCAGTAATATATCTCACATTATTCTTGTGGAAAAGAGAACAGTGGGGTAGAGATGGTCTGATTAGATGGATTCATAAATGGTTGGATAGCCGGCTTGATGATTTGATAAAATCTCAGACGTAGGTCTGCGGGGAAGTATCTCAGCTCTGGCCAGATGCTGTTTGATATTGTTATCAATGAATTGGATAAAGGCACAAGTGGGATCTTGCAGAGAAAATATGTGCATTAAATACGTTTCCGTCATGCATGAGTTATAGCACTGAAGACTGTGAGTTTAAAGTTAATGAATCAACAATATGATACATCTAGAAAAAGGAAGAGAAAATTCTCTGGTCTGCAGACTTCTCTGTGATGTGCTAAAGTAAATATAACCAGAGGTCCGCAGGAACTTAACTTTGTATTTTCCCTGGGAACAATGGTTCAATATTTGCTAATTCAGTGTTCATGGTGACTTTATAGAACATAACTATTGTGAATGATGAGAATTCATGGAATTTTCTTTCCTTCCTCCCCCCCCCCCAATTTAAAAGAAACAAAACAAAAACAAAATCTTTACAAAAACTATACATAGTCAAGTAAAACCAGTTCTCTCATTGGTCACATCCAAAAACTATATGTCTCATTTTACATATTTAGTCCATTCTTTCCCTGACATAAGGTGAGTAGCACGCTTTATCCTCTGTCTTCTGGAGTCATGTGTGATCATTTTGCTGACCAGAGTTTTTAATGCTTTCAGAGATGTTTATCTTTTTCAATGTTATCATTATATAAATTGTTCTCCTGGTTCAGCTCATGTCCCTCTGCATCAGTACATATGAGTCTTCCCAGGTTTCTCTAAAATAGTACCTTTTGGAGGCAGCTAGGTGGCACAGTGGGTAGAGTACCTGCCCTGGAGTCCAGAGGACCTGAGTTCAAATAAGGCGTCAGACATTTGATACTAGCTGTGTGACCCTGGGCAAGTCACTTAACCCCAATTGCCTTGCAAAAAAAAAAAAAGTACCTTTTGTCATTTCCAATGGCAGAATAATAATATTCCACTACATTCATATACTATAAATTTGTTCAGTCATTCTCTAATAAAAGGCCAACTCCCTTTAGGTTCCTGTTCTTTGCTACTACAAAAAAGAGCTGCTATAAATAATTTTTTACTTATGGCTCCTCATGAAATGCCCTTTACTACTAACTCACTGACTGATGTTCTTGTCTTTCAGGCTACAGGCTGGAGAGGAGGGGAAATGTCATTGAATGAATGAATGAATGAATGAATGAATGAATGAATGAATGAATGAAACAAACTATGAAATGCCCTTTCCCATCTCATGCATCAGCATGCTTGTCTTTTAGCTGCGGGCTGCAGAGGTAGAGATCAAAGATCTACAGTCAGAATTTGAGCTGGAGAAGATTGATTACTTGGCCACCATCCGCAGGCAAGAGCGAGACTTCCTGCTTTTCCAGCAGCTTCTTGAACAGATGCAGCCACTGATTCGACGGGACTGTAACTATAGCAACCTTGATAAGATCAAGCGGGAATCATCCTGGGATGAAGAGAATGGCTTCTGGAAGGTGCCAGAGCCTGTCATTGTGAAAACCAGTCTCCCTGTAGGTAAAGAGTTTGGCTGCGTCTGACCTGAAAGGCGCCTAGAAATTGTTACCCTCACCTTTGCATGGGTGCTTTCCCCTCCTTCTTCAAGTGTCACAGAATCAGGGAATGTCAGAGGTGGGAGGGCCCTTAGAACACAAAATGTCAGAGCTGGGAGGAGCCTTAGGACACAGGATGTCAGAGCTGGGAGGGCCCTTAGAACACAGGATGTCAGAGCTTGGAGGGCCCTCAGAACACAGAATGTCAGAACTGGGAGGAGCCTTAGGACACAGAATGTCAGAGCTGGGAGGGCCCTTAGAACACAGGCTGTCAGAGCTGGGAGGGCCCTTAGAACACAGGCTGTCAGAGCTGGGAGGGCCCTGAGGACAGAGAGTGTCAGAGCTGGGAGGGCCCTTAGAACACAGGATGTCAGAGCTGGGAGGGCCCTTAGAACACAGGATATCAGAGCTGGGAGGCCCTTAAACAGATGCAGAGCTTAGAACACAGGCTGGAGGGCCTTAGAACACAGGATGTCAGAGCTGGGAGGGCCCTTAGGACACAGGACGTCAGAGCTGGGAGGCACTTATAGTCATCTAGGGCAAATATTTCATTTTACACAGGTAAAATTAACATTAAGTTAGTGGCGGAGACAGGATTCAAACCCCTTTCTTCTAGCGCCTAATCCAGTCATCTTTCTAATACGAAACACTGCCTCCCTCCCACCCTCTGCCTAATTCTGTCTTCAATATCTGCCCTCCCCCTCCATCTCACAGCTTTCTGGCTCCTTTGAGCCTTCAAACAAACCCTAAAATGTGCCCTTTGAACCAAACTTGTTTGTTCTTGGGTTGGCCACTTACCTTTTCCTGGCCTCAGTTTCCTTATCATACACCCAGGGATTAGACTAGATGGTCTGTAAGTTTATTTCTAACTCTAACCATGCATGTTCTAGGGGACCTTCTAGATCTGCCATGATGTGTTCCACCTGTGCTGTCAGAGGCAGAGGAATGGCCTCAGTAGCCTCCTTGCGAGTCCATGTTTTCCCGAGGAACTGTCATCTGCTCCCTTAGAAGCATCATCTTTTCCTTCCTCCTTAGCCAAGGTTTCCCTCTTACTCCTAAGCCACAGCTCAGTGTAGTAGAAGCACCCTGGGTTTGAAGTCAGAAGAGACCTGCTTTTTGCCCAGAGGCCTGTTTGTGTAAGGAGTGACTCCAATTTCTCTTTTCTCATAGCAGTTTCAACATTACCACAGAATAAGCCTTCAAGAAAAACCTGTTCAGCTGATAATGGAGAACCATTGGTAGGTCCCAGTATCTCATGATGCAGCTTGAACTGAGTTTGGTAGAACATAGTATGAATGAAGGCAAGAGAATGAAGAATGTCAGAGCTAGGAGAGCCCTTAGAACACAAAATGTCAGAGCTGGGAGGAGCCTTAGAACACAGAATGTCAGAGCTGAGAGGGCCCTTAGGACATGGAAATCAGAACTGGGAGGAACCCTAAAACAGAGGATGTCAGAGCTGGGAGGGAACTTAAAACAAAGAATGTTAGAACTTGAGAGTAATGTTAGATATAGAATATTTAAGTTGGAAAGGGAATTTAGAGATAGTAAGGCTTTAGATTCAGTATTTCCATTTCTAGGAGCCTGAAGATTGACATCCTCATGTCCTAGTCCTCCCACCTATTACCTCCTACATGAATGAAGAAAGACTGTATTTGGATTGACCTAACTTTATGTCCCTATCCTTCAAATTAACTTACAGTTAGAGTAGCATGGCGCTTATGAAGCTGAAGCTGACCATGCTCTTCCTGTTGGCTCCTCTGAACCAAGACTGAAGGATGATTATTCTCAATAATTTGCTGATAATTGGCATGTTTAATGGATCCATGATTTTATCAGCACAAGGACTTCCTCCCTCAGTACAGATGGCAACCTGTCCATTCCTACAAGATTCTTATACTGGTTTTTACATTGTAAAGTCCCACAGAGGACTGACCTATTCTGTCAGAAGCCTTCCTCTGGCTTGTAAAAACTTCTAGAGCCGGGCATGGTGGCTTGTCCCATCTGCCAGTTCTGAGCCTCAGTGAGTTACGTTGACTGGGCATCACCACTAAGTTTGGCATTATTATGATGAGCCTCTCATATTGGGGGGCCACCAGCTTGTCTAAGGAGGGGTGAACCAGCCCAGGTCATAAACAGAGCAGGTCAAAGCTCCCATGCCCATTAGTAGTGGGATGACCGGACCGAATCCCTGGACTTTCCTGGAGGACATGGAGAGAATTAGTCTTAAAAAAATAAAAATTAACAAAAAGAAACAAAAAACCTCTGGATACCATTGCCACACCTAAGCTGACCTTGTGCTGCTGTTAATTCTCACTACATTACCTGCCTCCTTCTTTTTTAGTCATATTTGCCCTTTAGAATATCTATTACTCAGGGGCAGCTAGGTGGCGCAGTGGATGGAGTACCAGCCCTGAAGTCAGGAGGACCTGAGTTCAAATCTGGCCTCAGACACATAACCCTTACTAGCTGTGTGACCCTGGGCAAATCACTTAACCCCTATTGCCTCACCAAAAGGAAAAAAAAAAGATAGAATGTCTATTATAGAATTTCTTGAGCACGTAACACCATGAGTAAGTTGTGTGTGTGTATATATATATAATATATACACATTTCAGTCAGTGTAGCTCACGAACCCTCCAGTGTCTTAGTAACCAATCACTTAGTCAACGATCCATTGTGAATTGAAGAAATGAATAAACCTGGCATTTGAGCCTCTTCTCCCTTAGCTAGATTCTGAGTCAGCAGACGTAAAGTCACTCTTCTCAGTGGCCGAAAACCTCCAAGTGCTTCCTCAGTGTTAGTGATGATTATTGGTGTTAGTCTCTCAGAGTCAGAGAATCTTACCCGCAGAGGGGAGGTCACCAGGCCCTACCCATTCCCGTCCAAAAGTCCCTTCGACATCATCCCTCCCACGGGCCATCCAGCCACTGCTTGAAGACTTCTGGGGAGAAGGAGCTGCCACCCCTCCAGGACCCATTCCTCGTTGGCATAGCTCTGATCGCCAGGCATCAATTTCAGGGAAAACTTCCTGGAAACTTGAAAACATTGACTTCTTTATAACTTCCACCTACTATTCCTGGGGCTGTCTTCTGGGGCCAAACAGAGCAAGCCCAATCTTCCTCCCACATAACAGCCCTTCAGATACTTGACCTCATTTATCACATTCTTTCTGAGTTTTCTCTTCCTCAGGCAAAACGTCTGCAGTTCCTTCAGCCTTTCTTCACGTGGCATAGGTTCGAGGCCCCTCACCAAACGAGCTGCCCTTGTTTGGATGGCCTCTGTCCTGGGAGTGTCCTTCCCTAATGGTGGAGCCCAGAACTGAACACAATGCCTCACGTGTGGTCTGACGAGGGCAGAGAACAGAGGGACTCTTCCCTCCTTTCTTCTTGGAAGCAATGCCTTTCTTATTGCAGCCCAAGACAGCGTTAGGATTTTTGGCTGTCACGTATTGGCCTCTTGTTGCATATGTTGACCCCCATACTGGCCTGGGCTTGGGGCACATTGCATGTGTGGATGGCTTTCTCGGCCCCTCCCTGCTCAGGGCTGTACTCACTCGTAGATGGAGATGTGCATCACCATCTCGGGTACAGCACGCGCCTATGGGGGCAATGGAGCATGGCATTGTTGGTTTGGCTAGAAATGGGAAAGCATAGAAGAAATGAACCCTGCACACTTCCAAGGCCTTAGGGTAGTTTTCTTTGCTCAGGTATTAGGACTTCATGCAAAAAATTGGAAGATAATCAGCAGTATGAATCAGTCTAAGGCTAAACTGAATGGTGGTATGGACAAGCACTGTAGGAGTTTGGGGAAGGGGGTCAGAGGATGGCATGGGTGGGAATGGTTAGGATTAGAGGAGGTGGGACCAAGTTGAATTGTGGATTGATGTGGAGAAGGGGACACTTAGAGGAGTGGGCTGTGTGTGTGTGCAAAGATAAGAGTGTACCAAATGTGGATGGATCACAGCCAATGGACCTGCCAGAACTTGATGAAGGAGGGAAAAAAGATAGAGAGCGTAGGCTCCACAGACAGGGAAGGGAAAGACTGCTTGGAACCTTTGCTCTCTGAAAACCACTGAGAAGGTCAAAGGAGGCACTGATGATGTTTTCACAACAGATCTCAGGGGTTGAGGGTGGGCCAGAGGCTGCCAGGGCTGGGCCTGGAGTAGGTGAGTGGAATACATATTCTTCAGCTGGAGGGATGAGGAAGAATGGAGGCAATCTAACATGGGGACAAGGTAGGGAAAAGATGGAGCAGTACATAGAACACTGGGCCTGGAGGCAGGAAGGCTTGAGTTCAAATCTGGCCTCAGACACTTAATGGGCTATGTGATCCTGGGCAAGTCACTTAATCGCTGTCCACCTCAGTTTCCTCAAATGTAAAACAGCAATGGCACCTACCTCTTGGGGTTGTTGTGAGAATCAAATGAGATATATGTAAAGCACTTAGCATGGTGCCTTGCACATAGTAGGTGCTATATATGCTAGCAATTATTATAATTGTTGTTATTACTAGATGGGGGCAAGGGCTAAAGATGGCAGCTGCAGCAGGAGCAGAAAGGGGTTTGGGAGGGGGAGAAACTAGTATTAGTGCAAAGTGCAAAGACTGGGAAAGCCTTGGGAATGGCCAGTCTTGAGTTTGAAACCTATTGGTGGCCCTTAATAGCTTCATGAAACTTCACCTTCTTGGGGCTCAGTTTCCTCATCTATAAAATGAGATTAATAATTTCTGCCCTACCTATTTAAGGAAAATGTTTTGTAAATCCTGCAGTGATAGAGCTTTGTGTGCTGGCATTGGTGGGGATGGGGTGGGGGTGGGACTGGAGCCACTGAGGGGTCTCAGCTTACGGGCCTTGGTTATCCCAGCAGGAAGAAGATCGCTACAAGCTAATGCTGAATAGGAGCGACAGTGAAAATATTGCCAGCAACTATTTCCGATCCAAACGGGCCAGCCAGATCCTCAGTACGGATCCCATGAAGAGTCTGGGTAGGGGATGCTTCTCATTTCCTCCTCCTCCTCCTTAATTCATAGCCTGTCTGAAAAAGTCTTGCTATAACTAGACCTGGCCAGACAACCCTGACACCCCTGGAGAGGATAGAGGGGAAGGGAAGAAAAAGTGGCTGTCCACGGAATCTTGGTCCCTCATCCAGGGTGGGACTCTTGGTCTATATTAGTGAGTCCATCAGTCAGTCAATCCATCTGTAAGCCAGGCACTGAGGTTACAGAGACTAAAATGAAGCATTCCCTGCCCTCGAGAAACTTACATTCTGTTGGGGGAGGGGAATAATATATACATATTTACAAATACATCAATTGGTCAATCAAAAATATTTCTTAAGCTTCTACTGTGGGCCAGGCACTGTCCAAGGTTCTGGGGATACAAAGACTAAAATGAAACAGCCCCTGCCCTCAAGGAGCTTACATTCTATTGAGGGGAATAATATGTCATACACCCACCCATATATATATATATACACATATAAATATGTGTAAAGTAATTGCAAGTTAATTTGGGAGGGAGGACTCTAACATATTAGGGGGAACAGGGAAGGCTTTGTGTAGAAGTCTTGGCAGAAGTGAAGGATTTTATGAAGCAGAAAGGAGGAATGTGCATTTTAGACACAGGGGATGCCAATGGCAAAATCACGGAAATGGGAGAAGGAATTACTAATGTCTTTTCTGAGACCTTGTTGTACACCTTAGAGGACAGGTAACTTGCCTAGGGTTACAGTGGCTACAAGGTCACTAAGTGGCATTGCTGGGATTCAAACCCAAATCTTAGTGCTGTAGGGGAGAACCAGGGGTCCACTGTAAGCAGAAGTTCTTCATTTCTTAGAGCTATCAAGAGGAGAGAACTTTGCTAACCTTCAGGTGCTATAGAAATGGAAATGATGATTACTAAGTTATAGTCACCAGGGACAGAGAAACTTGATCTGCCAAGGGCCAGTAATCAATAGAAAAAAAATATATAAAGGGATGGAACATACAGGTAAAAGGATCTCTTGGTTCTGTGGGCAGCTAGGTGGCATAGTGGACAGAGTACTTGGCTGGCAGTTAGGAAGACTCACTCTTGAGTTCATATCTGACTTCAGATACCTACTAGCTGTGTCATCCTGGGCAAGTCATTTAACCTTGTTTCCTCATCTGTAAAATGGGCTGGAAAAGGAAATAGAAAATCACTCTAGTATCTCTGCCAAAAAAACCCCAGATGAGGTCACAAAGAGTCAGACACGACTGAAAAAAGACTGAACAACAACTATACATAACCCCATCGACATGGCTTTTCCTTGAAGTGATGGAGATCACAGCTACCTGCCTACTCATCTTGGGTTACTCTTGCCAAGGTCCTTCCATAAAGTTATCCCTGATGGTCCATTCAACATGCTGAGAGTCTTCCTCTTGTTCTATTGACACTTGTTCTATATACCACTGGAGTGTACAGGCTATCTGTTGTCCTTTGCTCTCCCTCCATATTCATCTTTTTCTCCAGTCACACTTTTTATAGGTGATATCCTTTAGGCCAGAGGTGTCAAATTTGTAGCCAGATGTCTGGCACAGCCAGGAACCAGATGAAAAGGGAATTAGGAAATGTTTAGCAAAATAAGCAAGAATACAACATAACAGATAAATGTTGATTTGTGGGCTTCTGAGTCAATGTGCAGTCTATAGGGAAGTGTTTCTATCTGAACTTGGTCCCACCGCTTTAAACCACTTCTCTTGTATGATTTCTCACTCCCAATGGATTGAAGACTGCCTCTCTCCATTGCTCTATGGGGGATCATCAGTGGTAATTCTTTGGTGTATAAAACAACCTTTTCAATTTTTAAAAGCAAGCAATATACATCGTACTTGTGCAAAGCAAGATGTAGGAGGGAGAACATCTCTGACTTAAAGTCAGCAATCTTGGGTTTGAGTCCTGACCCTGCAGCATGACTGTAGGCAAGTCACCCAGTCTCTTTGGGCCTATTTCCTCTTATGTAAAATGGGGATAATACTAAGTCACCCAACTCACAGCCCTAGTGAAGAAAATTCTGTATGATCTGGAGTATTATGCTCTTTAATGAGCATCACATTTTAGACAGGATATTGACAAACTGAAGTACTTCCAGAGGATGGTGACCATTGACAACGAATTGGACAGCTGTAGTCCACATTATATGAGGATCCATTGAAGGAATTGGAGAGGTTTAACTTGGAGAAGAGACCACACAGAGAAATATCTTCTTCTCTTGGCTTCCCTGGCTTCTTCCTCTAAGCCCTAGCAAAAATCCCATCTTCTACAAAAAGCCTTTCCTGACCCCCTCAAATGCTCCACTAGAGTATGTGTTCCTTGAATGCAGAGATTACCTTTTTCCCTTCTGTGTGTCCTCAGTGCTTGGCACACAGCAGACTATTAATAAATGCTTACTGACTGACCCCCCCCCCCCCAAATCCTGTATAAATTGTAAGTCACTATCCATGGGAGCTCTTCTATAATGCTACTCAAACACACCAACAGGGCTAAGGTCTCATTAATCTCTCCAACAACGCAGATTACAACCTATCCCTGTGTGCCTGCCCTTTGTGACCCTTGTCCGTGTCCTTCCTTAAATTCATCACTGGGGGTCCATCCAGCGCGCGGAGGGGCAGCCGGTGTCTTCCTTCCTTTCCCTTGACGTTGCAAAGATATGTGTATGTAACGATAATTCTGATCACTTAAGCAACAAACAGTTCAATACCTTGCTTAGGTATCAGCTTGTACAATGGAAAGAACATTACCCTTCAAGGCATAAAAGTCCTGGGTTCCAAGACCTGGTTCTGCCCCTTGCTATCAATGTGACCTTGAGTCCCAACCATGCTCCAAGCCTACATTTCCTCGTCTGTAAGATGGGGTTTGCAATATTTCCCAAAGCGCTATGAATGGGAGTCATTTTTCTCAGGGTGCTTTATTTTATGTCTGTAGACTTATCACCCCTACTAAGTTCCTTAAATGCAAGGACTTGGGTCTTATGCTGCCTATCATATTTTGCACAAAGTAGGTGAGTGAAGGTGAGTGAAGCAGTGGATGGATGGATAGATGGCCACTTCTGTAAGCTCTGTTTCCTTCAGGATTCCTCATTTGATTTCCTTGTCTCCCTTGCCTCCGCAGCTCACCATAACTCACCGCCCGGGCTCAATTCCTCCCTGAACAACGCCTCTTCCATCCTGACACCCATCTCACCCACCCAGGCCACGGACATGCCCCAGCCTCGGCCCTTCCGTCTCGAGTCCCTGGACATCCCCTTTGCCAAGGCCAAGCGCAAGAAAAGCAAAAGTAACTTTGGCAATGAGCCCCTCTGAGCTCCGCACCCCCCACCCCACCCCGCCCCGCCCGGAGCTAGCTGCCCCTGTCCTGGCCCTGCTAGACTCTGCCTCCCCTCTCCTCCGGCCGGGGGGAGGGGGTGCGGAGGGTGCCAGCTGGCCCTGGGCCAGGGACAGCTCCTCCAGCCTGCCCTCAGCCTGCCTGGCTGGCAGGACTGAGGCAAGGAAAGACTCCTTGCGCTTCATGATCCGGACACCTGTCCAACCCCTCCAACAGCTCTGTTCTCGCTCCTAAAAAAGGGACACAGCAGTAGCTGTTTTCCTGCCCCCCACTCCCCCCCATTTTGTTTGCACCTGCAGCCTGAGCCCCCCTGAGAACCTGCCAGCCAGTGGTGATCCTGACGGACCTTAGCAGACCACCCCTCCCCAAACGCACCACCGCCAAGGGTTTTCTGGGGGGCCACCCTTCAGGGTTAATTGCATGGATGAGACTGGAACGAAAGCCATTTGACCAGAGGGAGGGAGAGGGTCCTTCTTTGGCCTCTCCTGCTGACTGAGCTTTGGATTCCTGATGAGAAAAATAAATGGCGCGTCCAGATGGATGGAGGGACAAGCCCTGGCCTCCCTGCGGAGCCCCCGGCTCTAGGTGGGAGCCGGCCCTCCCCAACGAACACGGGGAGCCTCCCACGGAGCTGGCACATTAAACTGCCTCATTCTGACAAGCTCCCCCGGAGCGACTCCTCTCTGTTGTTTTAAGAACCCCTTCTGGGCTCTGTTTTACCCAAGGTGCCCGTCTAGCAGGGCCATCCGGAGCTGGGCCCCTCAGGTGCCCCCAAAACGGGGAGTCTGGGAAGGGGAGGTAACATGGTATGGGGGAAGGTGGGATGTAAGGAGTTAGATGAGGCGGCTTCAAACCCAGGCTTCTGCCCCTATCTATATTATGTGTCTAACCTTGGCCAAGTCCCTTGAGCCCTTGTCAGTTTCCTCATAGGCAAAAATAGACAATTGAACTACATGTCTCTACAGCGAGGACCCTAAGAAGCACGATTTAATAGGCTCCTGGAGTGTTCTTCCTGACTCCTATGTCTTCCTCCTCCATCTCATCCGCCCCATTTATGACCATTGTCTTAAAACATTACTGATAGGCATGCATTTACAAATCATACCCTCAAGTCAGTTCAATTCCATAAACACTAAATGCCTACTCTGTAAATATGCAAGTGACTTACTGGGTGGGAAGCCAGAGGACTAGCTTCAGAATCAGGAAGCCTTGGGCTGGAGACCTTCCTGACACCTGAGTACGTCATTTAACCTGTGTCCCAGGCAACTCTATAGTATCTGCATCAGATCAGGGGTCATTTCACACCAGGAAATCACACTTATGATGAAAGTAACAACATTTATATAGGGCTTTAAGATTCCTAAAGTCATTTGCAACTATCTTATTTTTATCCTCATAAACCTTGGAAGTAAGTGGTGCTAACTCAGGCACTGAGGTTAAGTGACTCAGTATTTTTTTTTTTAACTTTTCCAAGTGAGTAGGAGGCAATAGGGAGTCACTGAAGGTTTCTGAGCAGGAGTGACCTGGTCAGATGGACCTTGGATTGATCTGGAAGCAGAATGGAGAGGGGACTGGACACCGGAAAACAAGGAGGATGTTGCAGTACTTCGGGGCGCCTTCCTAGGAGTGGTTCAGGGCGTGAGAACAAGGGGATGGAAAGAGCAGCTCCAAGGCCGTTGCCTCGTGGTGTGACCTTGGGCCAGTTCGCCCTCTCTGGGCCTCAGTGTTCTCATCTACAAAATGGGGGCGGGGACCCGGTGGCCTCCAAGGTTCTTTTCAGTCCCGAGGTCCAGTGTCGGCCCCCCTCCCGCCCCCCTAGGCCTGCAGCGGGGTGGCGTGGTCAGCAAACTCGAGTGGGAGGACAGGCGCTGCAGGAGGGGCTGGGGGGCGGAGGACGCACGGTGTGATGGGAAGAGCTCCAGGTACTAGCTCTGCGACGAGCCGGAAAGGGGCTGCCCCTCTGGGGCGGGCGTTACTGATTGGTCTCCTCTGCAGAGCTGGCTCATCGGGATTGACGCGTTCCCTAGGTGGCGAGGGCGGGACGTCGTCCTTCCTACCCAATGGGCTTCAAGAGTCTTCCCCCCCCCGCCCTTCGGGAGCTTCCGCTCGTGCTGCCAGTACACTTCCACCCGGACTTCCGGGAGGCCGAATTGCTACCGGCGCCCGCTCGTGGCGATTGGACGGCTGCGGCCGCGGCACTTCCGGGGCGGCATTCCGGGGCACTGTGGCGGCGGGAGGAAGATGGAGGCTGGCCCCGTGTCTGCCGCTCGCCAGTCCTGCCGCGCCCCCGCCTCCGTGCGGGCTCCGAGCCTGCTCCTCCTGCTCCTGCTGCCGCTGCTGAGACTCGACACCGCCAGCGCCAGCGCCGGAGCGCGCCGGACCCTCGTGCTGCTGGAGAACGTCAACCTGCGCGAGACACACTCGCTCTTCTTCCGGAGCCTGGCGGGTGAGGAGGCGGGGGGCGTGTGCTAGGGGAGGGCGCTGTGGGGGGAGGGGGCGGAGGCCTGCGCTGGGGGAGAGGGACCCCCGGGAGATGGGGGTGTTGTCTTCTGCGAGAAGTGAATTGACCACGAAGTGGGGGCATAGGTAGGAGGGGAAGGCAGCTTCGGGGGCTGTGGGGTAAGAACGGGGGTCGTGGAGAGGTCACGAGGGTGAGGAGTCTAGGGGAGGAGATGGAAGGATTGAGGTGGGGGAGGTCCCGGGCTGACCGAGAAGGGGCGGCCTTGGGATGGGTTGGAATGCCCTCTCCCTGCATCCTCTTTCCCCCCGGCTTCCTTCTGTGCTTAGGTATAGAGCCCCCAGCCTTAGACACTTATGTATGACCCTGGGCAAGTCACTTAATCCTGTTTGCCTCAGTTTCCACATCTGTAAAATGAGCTGGAGGAGGAAATGGCAAGCCACTCCAGTATCTGCCAAGAAAACCCAAATGGCGTTATGAAGAGTCAGACATAACTCAACAACAGAAGTCCTGTCTTGGGCAAGAAGCTTTTCCATTTCCCTCAGTGTTAGTTCCTTCCTTTTAAGACTGTCTTAATTTGTCTGTCGCTTGTTTGTACCAAGGCATTGGCTGGGTGTCTCTCCCTTAGGATCTTGTGCTCCATGAGGGCCAGGGCTTATCTGTTACCTTTCTCCGCATCCTTTGCACAATGCCCTTCGATTAGTAGGTGCTTCTTCTTGTGGAGTCGTTTCAGTCGCACCCCTCTCTTTGTGAGCCCGTTTGGGGTGTAGTTTGCCATTTCTTTCTCCAGCTCTTTTACAGATGAGGAAACTGAGGCAGACAGGGTGAAGTGACTTGCCTAGGGTCATACAGCTAGGAAGTGTCTGAGGCTGGATTTGAATTTGGGTCTTGCTGATTCCAGGGCCCTTGTAGGTATTGATTAGTTTCATCGCCTCAAACCTTCTTCCCCTCACTCCCCCAGTCTTCTGTAGCCTAATCTTGTCTATGTCTTCTGGCATCTACCCCGCTGTCCTTTGGTTCTTTTAATAGATCAGAAGTACTAAGAGCTTAGTTCTTTCGGAATTGAACTGTCATGGCAAGATAAAAAATTGATAATACATTAGAAGAAGGCTTCATTTCTACATTTTCGTATGTCATGGCAGAAGATATAATCAGTTAACACTCAGAGAAGTGTGTCTTTGTGGGGCAAATGGGTTTCTCAATATATACTATTTCCCATAGATACTTAGAGTATACAGAAAACAGCCATTCTGACTTTAGGATGGTAGCAACTGGCCTTGTTCATTGTGTTTCAGAGTAGGAGATACAGATATTTTCTGTCTGCTACTCTGGCATTGACTTCGTGGGTCCTAGATAGTGGATTTTGTCTTTTGATTGGCATTAGAATTAGGTATAATTGCTCATTTATACTTGAAATGAAGGCATATTAAAAAATGGGATTACTCATGTCAAGGGAAAATGCAGGACCCCTTTCTACCTGCTACCACATGTCCTTGATCAGTTCATTACACATAAAGAATTAAATTATCATTAATATTCATGTATGATCTATGAACTGTGTGCCCCATTGCTGAAGGGAATCAAGGAAAGCTGAATGGAGGTGGTGGCATTTATATGAGTAAGCTTGGCCTTCCAAGGTAAGTAGGATTTTAACACATAGAGATTTGGGGAGGACAGCACAGGTTTAGGGAAGGCCTAGAAAACGTTTCGTCTCACTCCTGTCTAATCCTTAGAAGGGAGATTTCAGTGGGGCCTGTGGTCTTTGTGCCTTGACGTGTGTAGTGTCATTGCCTCCTTATTTATTTTCTTGCAGACCGTGGCTTTGACCTCACCTATAGGACTGCTGATGACCCCAGCCTGTCTCTTATTAAGTATGGGGAGTTCCTATATGACAATCTTATCATCTTCTCTCCTTCTGTGGAAGGTAAGTGTTTGTGGTCCTGAGCAGGGAGCATCTGACCTTGAAGAGAGAGGCCCAGGTAGTAGAGACGGTGCTGAAGCAACAGTCACTCTGTCCTCAGCCTGCCTTTTGTTGTTGCTGTCCTCAAAGAAGCCTTCTTTATTACAGATGGTCCACTTTCAGGTCCCCAAAGTTAGGGGTGGGTGGTGCAGAGCCTTCACCAGCCATTACCAGATGGACCAGGCAGCTGACCCAGGCTGCCTGCTGTTGTGTTGAGGCTGGGGTCGATGCTTAAAAGGTTTCCTAGAAGCAGAAGGGGAATCAGCAATACAGTGATTTGTTCCCATGACAGGGGCAGCTCCCAGCCCCCTTCATTCGCCATCACATCTGTTTTGTGTCCACACTGTCCAGCACTGTGCATAAGCATGGAGGACAGAAGCATAACTGACTAGATGGGGGTGGGGTGAGATGGGAAAGGAAGGGAAACCACAAACAGGGGAGGATCAGGTAAGTGCAAAGGATGAAGTCCCATCAAAGAGCTGAAAGGAATTTGAGGTGAGAGTGTTTACTTTTGTTGGAGGTAGAAAGTAGGGTTAGATAAGACTTCCTGGTGTAGGTAGTGCCCAAGCTGGGCCCGCTACGTCTCTGATCTTTGTGGGGCAGAATCCTTGAGACAGTAGTGACTCATTGTGCCTTGATTTCTTTCAGATTTTGGAGGCAATATTAATGTAGAGACCATCAGTTCTTTTATTGATGGAGGGGGCAGTGTCTTGGTGGCTGCCAGCTCAGACATTGGTGAGTATGGCCTTTCCTTGAATTCAAGACACAGGCTATTTTTCATTTTCTTGGCGCACCCCCCCCCCCAATCACAAGTGCAGATTGTCAGATTAGTATTTGCCTAGCCTGGGTGAGCTGGAACAACATGGCAATGCCATCATACCCCGACCTTGTTTCTCTACGGTTCTAACTGTGGTATATTGGAAAGAAAATTGGTGTGGAGTCAGGAGACAAGTTCAGAGCCCAGCTCTGTAACTCATAGTGTGATGAGAGACTGGCCAAATCTCTTAGGTCCTTGGTTTTGGAGGTGATGATTCTTGTATTGTTATTTCTTTTTACCCAACTGGATTGTTGTGAGACTCAAAGGGGGTAGATATTTTAAACCAAAACGTGCTGTATGGTTATA